CTTTAGTGCTAAAATGACAGTGATCAAAATAACACACAATCAGAAATATAGAAATACTAGAATGGGTCTAGAGAAAATCGCCAAGTTAAAATGTTTTGGCAACTATGATTATAAATACAAAGTTAGGAAGGATGTCGGTTCAGGATCACCTACATTATCTAATCAATGTGTAACGAAAATGTAATTTTGAAAACGATACACATACATTTTGTTATATATATTTATTTTATTATGCATATTCCATCAATTTTATTATTTTTTTTTTGGAAGGGGGTGGGGGTTGGTAGCGGAAGGGGGGTGAAATATGTTAATGTGTTAATGTGCAGCTTGTCTAGAGCACTGATATATAAATATAAAAGAATAAATGTATTTTTCTCACCTAATTTTGCAAACATTTATATATAGGTATATCTTAAGTATATTATATTACCAATCATTTAACTTCTTTTATGAATAAATTATTGAGTGTCTATGAATAGGTAATAAGCTTTAGGCATGATTATGCAAATGAGTTTTGTAAGGTCTATGAATAGATATCACAATGATACGTGTCAGTAATGAGTTATAATTGTCTGGAATGTTCTAGAACAGTATAGTCAACAGTGTGGTTAAGAATACTCTTCCTATTGGACTAATGTAAAAGTGCCTAGTTAACAGTTTGTGTAATCCACAAGCTAAAGTTGAAACCTTCTAGAACAAACAGGGATGATGCAGGACCTGTAAAGCTGGTGCAATTTAAAATGAAAATATATCTAGAAATTATAGGCATAATGACACATTTGGCAAGGGAGATAACTCTCCCAAAAATGCTGAGAAGGTAAAAACGTGATAAAAGGCTGAGATAGGAGACATTGAACTTTGTCATTTTATTGATAGGATGTGTACATGACTACAGAAAGTGATACTGTGATCAGCGATAGGAAACAAACACCTGTTCAGGAATTCTGACCAACATATAGTACATGTTTAATTGCACGTACAAGGGTCAATTTGAACTCTGGAAAGTTCAGTGAACACACAGCTGTTACATGGCGGTAACTTTTACTTGTAGATGAAATTGTTTTACAACCCATACTTCTGAGGTACAAGTGGCTAAAAGATGCACCTAAAACCTGATAAAAATTGTGGACATGGTAGTTAAAAATATATGACATTATTTTGGGAGCATTTTAACTTACGTAAACGATTTCTCAGCATAATTCATTATCTATAAAGCCTTCTCCTGGGAATTTCCCTTACAGAGCACATGGCTGACAATGTTGCATTTAAAAAAAAAATCTTTCTACGAAAGGAAAAAATATAGAATAACATACGAACAAATGATTAGCATTTAATTATCAGCATACTCATATCCTCATAACTCATCACTTATTCATCACCATCATCATCATTGTCATCATATTATCACCATCATCATCATCATATTATCACCATCATCATCATCATCATCATCATCATCATCATCATCATCACCATCATCATCATTGTCATCATATTATCACCATCATCATCATCATATTATCACCATCATCATCATCATCATCATCATCATCATCATCATCATCACCATCATCATCATTGTCATCATATTATCACCATCATCATCATCATATTATCACCATCATCATCATCATCACCATCATCATCATTGTCATCATATTCACCATCATCATCATCATATTATCACCAACATCATCATCATCACCATCATCATCATTGTCATCATATATCACCATCATCATCAATATTATCACCATCATCATCATCATCACCATCATCATCATTGTCATCATATTATCACCATCATCATCATCATATTATCACCATCATCATCATCATCACCATCATCATCATTGTCATCATATTATCACCATCATCATCATCATATTATCACCATCATCATCATCATCACCATCATCATCATTGTCATCATATTATCACCATCATCATCATCATATTATCACCATCATCATCATCATATTATCACCATCATCATCATCATATTATCACCATCATCATCATCATATTATCACCATCATCATCATCATCATCATCATCATCACTTACGATTGTGTATGCCGCTAGCATCTTTCTGATTGTGATGATCCAGATAAGATAATACCAAATCTATCATTTTATTTTAGAAATGTTGGCGGGGGGTAGGGGAAGGATCAACAGTAGACTCCATGTTTGAGACTGGGATGAGAAGGGTGGGGGACCCCAAAAATTAGTAGAACTTGACTCAAACTGTTTTAATACTCTTGGAACACATGATATATTATTAATGTATAATATTTTACCTGGAAATGGTATTACGAATACATGATACAATGTAGCAACCATTATATTACAAATAAAGTGTTGTTACCATTATAGAATATTTTCACCAGGCATGTTTATCAAGGGGAGGACAGAAATAGATGTGATGTATGGTTAGATACATGTACATCATTCTTATTATTGGACTTTTTCAAAGATTTCTTTCGTCATAACAGTTGGTTCATGTATTGATTATACTATTTTACTAATTTGTAACTCCCACACAATTACTCACACTCTGTGGTCACAAACGCACACATCGACCACATCTACCTCAACCATCCATGTTTAAATTCCATCCACACCTCACCCACATAAATACACTTAAAGAGTGTTATCACTCACACAACACCAAACACATATATTTCAGTTACCTCCTGTACAAGCAAAATAATTGGAAAAACAAAGCAATATTTTTAGGCTTCATTAGAAAGAGAGAGATGAAAAAACAATAGAAAGGAAAACGAGACTGCCTGTACAACGTTGGAGAGAAACTAGCTTAACAGTTCAGAATTTTAAATGTAAAAAAAAAAACCATGTACCAGCTTCAAAGTATATTATATATGTACACATATCTTATCTTGATACATCTCTGGAATCTTTAGAAGGTAAAAAAAACTTTGAAGATTCTAAATTCTAAAAGAATGACAAAAAGCCAGCATATTCTAAAAAATTGACAAAAAGCCAGACTATTCTAAAAAAAAAAAATGACAAAAACCCAGACTATTCTTTAAAAAAATTACAAAAAGTCAGCCAATTATTCTGGAAGAAATTATTGTGCTCTTTTTGATTCCGTTGTCGTGAAAACCAATGAAATTATTGTAAGCAGTGGAAGGGAGGTAACTCTGAGATGTAATATTTTCTTAGTTCAATTGTTTTAAATAGTTGTTTCAAAATTTTTAGTAAGAAGATAATACATGTACATGAATTATCAAATCTTATTTTATACACCAGTGTCAGCTTGAACAAAGCCTAAATTTCTTTTTAATCTAAGCTACGTTTATGTTCATTTTTTTTCTTTTTTTTTTCACCTAAATCAATTTGAATTATTCATAGTAGTTCTAACATGATTTTTCTATAACATGTATGTTTATTTGAAGTGATGTCGATGAGTTTTCAGTCGACTCCTGAAAAATTCTTGTCTGGTCTATTATTGTGGTGCATTTCAGAATTCTACATCTTTACCAATTCTGACTCTGGCAACAACACCAAATTCTTGTATAATACTGTATCATTTGTGGACAATTATGTTGAATAATAGAACCAGCCTGGGACAGGATTTTGCTAAGTTTTGAACTCATTTTGCCACACAAACAAAATTGCATGTATAATTTAGTAATATATAACAACTCATAGCATTCTTTCAGAAAATATTGTTCCCATTAAGGTTACTTATTATTTTTAGCCCATCATCATCAGATGGTGGGGTATTCAAATTGCCCTGTGTCCGTGGTCCGTCGTCCATCCATCCGTCTGTCCGTAAACAATTCTTGTTAACCTATTTCTGGAAAAGTACTGGATGGATCTTTCTCAAATTTCATATGCGGTTTCCCCTTGGTCCCAAGTTGTGCATTGTACCTTTTTTGGACTGATTCGAATTCAAGATGGCCGACAGGTGGCCATCTTGGATTTTGGATGTAAAAGTTTGTTACCGCTATTTCTGGAAAAGTACTGGATGAATCTTTCTCAAATTTCATATGCAGTTTCCCCTTGGTCCCTAGTTGTGCATTGTACCTCTTTTGGACTGATTCGAATTCAAGATGGCTGACAGGTGGCCATCTTGGATTTTGAATGTAAAAGTTTGTTACCGCTACTTCTTGGAAAGTACTGGATGGATCTTTCTCAAATTTCATATGCAGGTTCCCTTTGGTTCCAAGTTGTGCATTATACCTTTTTGGACTGATCCGAAACCAAGATGGCTGACAGGCAGCCATCTTGGATTTTGAGAGTAAAATCTTGTTACTGCTATATCTGAGGAAGTACTGGATGGATCCTTCTGATATTTCATAGATATTGGTTTCCCTTGGTCCCTAGTTGTGCATTGTACCTTTTTTGGACTGATTTGAAATCAAGGTGGCCCACAGGCAGTCATCTTGGATGTCGACAGTAATACAGCACAAGCATATTGTCCATTATCCACCTGTAACTGGCTGCTATCTAATAATACTTTGGGATCTTTTTCAAATGATATTTGCTAATAGGTGCTTAATAAAAATATCTTGTGCCATCATTGAGTACATTCAATGAAGACCAGTTCATGAACATTTACAACAGCTGTAACAAGCAAAAAAAAAATAAACAAATCTTCAAGAACTGAAAACAGATCCTCAAATGGTTGGCGCCAAGATCCCTTTGGGATCTCTTGTTTATGATAATGTATTCAACTAGAGTGTGTAGAATTCTCAGTTAGCTGGATTTTTAGTGAACCGTCTGTTCTGATGATGCTGGACTGCTCAAATCACACATTGTCCTTGAATCATTTTCATTATCACTATTTCTGGATAAGTACATAATGGATCTTATTCAAATTTCACAATGGTTCTCTAGAAGTGTCCATTCCTTTTGGGATGAATTGGGGGGAAAAGAAGAATAAGAAAAGAAAAATAACATTATTTCATGACTCACAGGTGGCCATTTTGGATTCTTTTAAAATTGTTACTTTCGAAAATTTCATTTTCCAGGTTCCTCTTGGTCCCAAGTGATGCAATCATCCTTTTTCCGGGCATCGCCTGTTTTACGCCCAGTAGCATGCTTGAATGAAGGGCTACCAAGTTTGTTCAAATGAATGACCTCGATGAACTTTCATGATCACAGGGGTCAAATGTGTTTAAATCTTTCAAAAATTTCTCATTGACCTAGGGTTATGAAATTGGGTCAGCAGCATGCTGGGATAAAGGGCTGTCATCTTTGTTCAAATGAATGACATTGACCTTCATTCACAGGGGTCAAATATGCTACAACAACAGACAGTTATAAATTCCAATTAATTGAAATTAATGCTTCAAACTTAGAAACAATAAAAACTTTGTAAGTATGCATATATCAGTTCTGTTCGGTCTGCCCCAAAGCTGATAAAAAAAACAAAAAGGCTGACAGGTGGCCATCTTGGATTTCAACAATTTAAATTTGTAATTGTTATCACCGAAATCTTAAATCTCTAGTAAGAGTTTGTCTGTCGTGCTGATTAATGGTCTGACAGAAATGAGTGATGGGCAACCATCTTTAATTTACCCGGGTAGACATGAAAATGTGTTTTCATAAAGGACTCGATGATGGTCCCTAGAGAAATTAAGCCAGAAGAAGTATGAAGAGAAAGGGCAAAAAGATCCTGCTGTTTACCCGGTTTATCATCCCACAGTAAATTTGGGGCAGGCTCACCTTGTTGGGGATACTTCACTGAACAACACACAAGACAGCTGGTGTATAACATCCCCAGGTTAGTGTCATGCCCAAGGTCACAAATAAGATGGTAAAAAACAGTGTGATTCTCATTAGAAACCGACTACCAATAAGGACAGAAAAGTGCATCACCACACATACCTCAGATCTTCACCCTTGACTGCTTAAGCCAGTGCTCAACAACTGACCTATACCAAGTAAATATATCACCACAACTCGCAATTAGTTCCAATTCAAAAACAGTTACCCCAGCTCATTTTAAAGGCCAGAGCAGTCAACCGGTATGAAAAAATTCTTAGTAATCAAGAAGAACCTTTGGGCTTTCAATTTCCCCCTTGTTCAGATTACTGAGAACAGCTGTTATAAATTCTTTGCCCATGGCCTTCAGAAATCAAGGGTGACAGGGTGTTATAAAGAGTCACTAAATTTTATCTATTCTGTTGAACGTTATTTTGACTAAATTGAAACTTTTTTAATACTGATCTAAAATAAAGAATTATGAGGCAATTCTAGCATTTTTTAGCAGGTCATATGGTCAATATTGGGCTGACCAGATGAAATTAAGCACATTGGTGACAACAAGTCTAAATTTTGCTATCTGCAGTAAGTGACATAGATATCTAAATATAAACACATCTCAATCAAAGACTTTAAAAGTAACTGGATAAGGCTGGAGTTTAGATGACTGACATGGCTGCAAAATCTTTGTCGAGATGTTTCTGACAAACAAGTGATCTGTACAATTTGGTGGTAAAAGTGTTAGAAAATCAGAAAATGATTGTCAGTACTCACAAAACCAAACACCAAAGAACTTTATGCATTTTATTCCTTAATTGAATATTTTGACAACTAATGCATTAATTTTTAACTCGTAAAGGATGATGTGGATGAGAATGATGAGAATGATGATGATTACTTTGATAAAAAGAATATCAAGGAGCAAACAAACGGCTGATCTCATAGTACATGTTATTTATTCATCAACGTATACAAACCATGGACAAAGAATAATCATGTCAGGTAGTTCCTGCAACACACCATAACTCTTATAGACTGTACCAGAATACCAGTCCTTAAAATCTCCCATAAACATGCACAGTGCCAGTATATCAATTTGTTCAATGCTATACATATATTTGCCTAAAGACACACCTGCTTTACATGGACAGATATGTTCTGTGTCCAGAGGCACCACGTCAATAGGGGACCATCCTAGATTAACCCTACTCTTTCATCACAGCTCACGGCAGGATAAATAAATAAACATCTTCCTGCTCTGAGCAGTCAATCAAACAGGGACACAATATCAAAGTATTCACAGAAATACAATATAAACAAAAACCAAGCAAAATAATAACTAATATTCCAATATATGTTGTTTTGTGTACTTCTTACCTTCCACACGGATCTGCCTTCTCAACACTTTACATACACAGTTACTACTGTACAAGTATCAATACCTCTAGTACCTAAGGATTAGATATCCCAATCTCATTGGCACACCTGTAAATTAGCCCTTTGATGTGCTCTTCAGATTTTCATACCTGGGGCCAATGATATAATTTAACAGAAATCATAATACACACTTTGGATAGCACTTCTATATAATTATACAAGTTAATGTAGCACTTGATGAGAGTAAAACTGCCTCTGCACATATTTCCAGCTCCTTTTATGATGAGGGCAATTCAAAAAAATTCATTAAGATTATTTCTTAGATCACTGGTCTTCCTAGAAAAAATGAAATCACTTCCCCAGGTGTTTGATATTTTTATGCTCCTCGGAAATTTTCAGGGGGGGATATAAAGTCATCACCTTGTTTATCTCTGTCGCTTTAATTATCTTACAGGCATCTTAACATCTCTAGTCAAAAAGAACTACTGACAAATAGTGTATGGGATGAAGGCAACTAATTAGGATTTATCTGAAACAAAGTGAAATAAAATGGACTTGAGAATGATCATGGTATAATAATGCCTCATACGAAACAAAAAAAGAATTTCAGGGTAATAACAAAGTTCAATCCCGAGCTAAAAGTAAAATTCAAAGCTGGCATCTAATCCACTTACTGATCAAATAAGCATCAAACTGATTTTATATTGATGGTCTAATAATAAAATACTACCACAACAAAATAAGTTTAAAATCTGTAGATTTGGATACAAGTGTGGTGATAAAGCCAGAAAACTCAAGTCTAAGATGCTGAGAGGACAAAACTTATTATGTCTGGGGGCAATGATCACAAATCACAGGAAAACAAGGACATTCTATCAGGATTTATCTGGAGCACGGATTATTCACCAGTAGAGAAATAATTCATGACACACTCTTTATCTGTCAAGGCCAGACATTGTTTTCTCACAAAACACACACATATATTGCACAAGGATTCTTGTTATAATAATCTAACCGATAAGTTCAATAGATTCCACTACATTCTTTTTCGGCCAAACCCAGGTGTTTTCTTTGTTAACTCAGATCAAAAAATAAATGAAAGTAGTGAACATGGCACCATGTAGTAATCCAAAGATTTTTAATAACTACCGAATGGTATATCAACAGAAACGGGGTATCTTCAATATATGTATTCAACACAAAAACTGATTTTTGTACACCAACATAAGACCTAGTGGTAAAGTAGTAACAGTCAGTGGCAGGATTTGTATCCCATTTCTAACACCCTGTCAATAAGAATCTGTCTCTGCTAGTTACATAAATAAATAATGATACTACTAGCACTAAAGGGGTTGTATGAAATCTACTCTGCACAATCACATACTAGTGGTAACAATTTATACAACGCGTAAATATATATAATCCAAATGAGGAAACAACTACATACTGTCACATCACCATACTAACACATTTTCACACTCTTTCAATTACATACATCAACGCCCATACTTCAATGTGCAGGTATCAAACAATGGTGGAAAGTCCAACAAGTTTCCAATTCTTATCACCAGATTCAAAATCAACTGAAACTTAATTTTACAATAATTTTTCTAAACTATCATCTCTTTCCATTGTTTCTTTGTTTTTCGTGCAACACCTAGAACACTGATGCCTCAGTGTCTGGCCACTTTCATATTTCAGTGAAGTCCAAGTATCAATATATAACACAGCCCAGTGCCTTCAGTTTCCCATGTTGGAGAGAACTCTTCAGCCATCTCAGGCCAAACCAAAGCCCTCGGAGCATTCGTTTATCGCTAACAGCAACATGTGTCGAAGTTTGTCATAGGTTTCATATGCTGGGAGATCAAGTTGATTGAAACTGAAAAAGAAAAGAATTTTCTTTATCTCTTCTTATAGTAAACTACATCAAAAGTGATAAAATTAAACCTGTTTGTAAGTCTCTATGTAAAACTTAATGCCGCCTTCAACACTATACATGCTTTCTTTTCACTGGAGTTTGAATGAATTTTACTCAATAGTGACATTTTAGATTTTGTCTTACCAAGTATGAGCAACAGGCAGTCGTTCTGTCGACCTGTCATCCCGATGGATTTGGAATTTTTGGTATCCGTTCATGCCTTCCAAGAAGGCGAATCCCTGCAGGGGTACCTTGGAGGTGCCTGTTACAAACTGTAGGAACTGTGCCCTGTCTGACTGCTCAAATGACCTCAATGCACGCCAGAACCACTGCACCTGAAGTTGCAATATATATACAAAAATCAATAAATCTGTACATAGGGAAATGTATCACTATAAAATTTTCAGTATGTATATAAAATGTTTAAATACTCCAAGCAAATACACATATGACATCACTTATTAATGCTTGATGGAAATAAAAAGGATGGATGGACAAGATGACTTTTTCCTGTAGGGAAGTGCTCTGATATTTGTGGTACTCTGTGTTGGATTAGTCAATATGTGACTTACCTGTAGGGAAGTGCTCTGATACTTGTGGTACTCTGTGTTAGACTTGAGGTCATCAATATCAATGTTTGGCAGGCCTGAGATTAGTAATTCCAATTCCTGTTCGTTGAATATAGAGATAAGTCTCTTTGGTATGATGTCATAAAACCCTTCCATGAAAGCATTGAGCTGTTTCCTAATTGCACCAGTCATCTTCATTTGACAAACAAGCTTCACATATTCCTTCTTGTTGGCTTCTGTCACCATCAATTTGTTGCCATCTGTCTTTAGGTCACGTGATTCAGTAACACCAAACTCCTGGATCTGATCATGAATAGGCAAAGACATGTCAGGTAAAACCGTTCACATCAACAAATTGATGTAAATATTGGTATATATCTACATAAACATCAACAAACTGATATAAATATTGGTATATATCTACATAAACAGTGTTTTTTTATGAATATAAAACCAGATGATATGTGGTTGACACAAATACAAACTTATTGCAAAGTGTAGTTAATACTTGTCAACGTCATTGCTGAACTGCTTGTAAATCTCGTGACGACAACAGATTGTGCCTCCTGTAAAACTACATGATTTTGATATACAAACCAATGAGCTTAATCACACCCTGAATCAGTGTGTGATGAAGGTCACCTTGTCCTTACATATTGATACATCAAGCCTTTAAATATTACCCAAGATGTTCCCATTTGTGCTTACCTCTGTTGAAAATGCCAGGTCATAACCTAAATCCTTGACATCATTTTCCAATAAGAACACTAGTCCCTGGTAAAATGCATAGTCCTCACTTTCCATATCGGTGTACCTGCAAGTAGATCAGTCATATCAGTTAGGTAAATCTCATACCTTCTTCGCAAGGCTATTTATAGATGAAACATTAATTAAGATAGTTATTCAAATCTAATGAAATGTTGAAGATGAAATTTTGAAGGTTATTTTGGACTACTAAACCTTCAGGTGATATTCACATTTCTTAAAGTAAAAAACTTTATTAACCTCAAATAAGCATATCTGTTTTAACAGATTTAAGTAATTTTCTACTACAATACATACTTGACAGTCTGTCCTATGATGTGTTTGTAGAAGGACCTTGTGAAATAACACTCCAACAATTTGTTGTCATAGATGGCCTTAGCAATGATACGTCCAACAAATTTGTAGTAGCTCAGATGGTTACTGTTGCAATGAGAAGAAGGGTTGATTGTGTAGGTGACACGATCACCAGGTGAAGTGCTGAACAGCGCATACATTGGGTTGAAAATCTCACGAGCAATTATGATGTACCATTCTCGCAACAGCCCTCCAGCATCCTGCCCTTCTTCACCTATAAATTTTAAAGTGTATTTTAATATATATTCTCACAATCTTTACTACAAAATTTCAATGAAAAATAAGATGAATAGAGAATCTCTACGTACTTTTAGATCATGAGAGAAATTTGAAACAAAGCAAAACAGTTGACAGGAGTCCAGTGCATTCCAGAATCTTTCATGACAATGTTTTTCTGCTGTACCAGTTGACCTTGCAGATGACCTCTAAGGGTTATGAAAGGAAGATAATAACCTTATGGGTGAGAAATAACTCCAGATCTTTGGGAATGATCCACAGAGGGCATGAGGAAAATCATTCCACCGCGTGTAACCCTAACTGGTGAGAGATGATATCCTTGGGGATGTGATATCCCAAACAGACAAGAGGTACTCAACTTATTGTTCTTTATTTTTACCTTCAAACACGATGTAGAACCTGTGCTTCCATTCATCCACAGTACGTCTAAAAAGTTCCCTGAAGGAGTCTTCAAACACATGCTCTCGTCTCACATGAACAGCTAGGTCTTCACGTCGCAAACCCTCGTCCAACCGTTCCAGTTCTTGGCGGAAGTAGCGGCGTTTAACATCAAAGTCTAGGATGCGGGTATGGTCAACAAGGACGGAGAAGGGGCCATCCACCAGGGGTGTAGTTGACTGGCGCAGAATCTGGTTTAGTACTGTTCTGTGGGTCTCTGTAAACATAATCTGGTTTAGTACTGTTCTGTGGGTCTCTGTAAACATAATCTGGTTTAGTACTGTTCTGTGGGTCTCTGTAAACATAATCTGGTTTAGTACTGTTCTGTGGGTCTCTGTAAACATAATCTGGTTTAGTACTGTTCTGTGGGTCTCTGTAAACATAATCTGGTTTAGTACTGTTCTGTGGGTCTCTGTAAACATAATCGAGTTTTGTACTGTTCTGTGGGTCTCTGTAAACATAATCTGGTTTAGTACTGTTCTGTGGGTCTCTGTAAACATAATCGGGTTTTGTACTGTTCCATGGATTTTACTGGACAATTTGCTTACATGAAGACACCTTGTCAAAGCATATCTCTAATGTTTTTTGATAATTCAGGACAACATCTTTCTAACACAAACATTTTTGCATACAGTAAAATTTTTTTATAGTAACTATTTAAACAAGGCATTATGCCCTTACCTGCGAACTTGAGGAACTTCTGTGTGTCTGGTGGTAGGTTACATATAGAGGACATGGAGGCTACAGAATTCTCCCTGTTGAGGTGTGGAGTATCTGACTGGGCAGCTGGGGATGCTGGCGCCACGTCAAGATTCAAGTGGGCCAGCTGATCCTCTCGCTTCTGTGATGGCTGGTCTGCTGACTTGCCATCCTTCTCACCTGGTAGGCAAAAATATAAAGATAAGATAGTGCTATTTAGGTTCAATTGCATAAAACTACAGGTATATGTCGACAAAGATAAGCAGTACTAAAATACCGGGAAAGTGGAAAGATACAGATGAAATGTCTGATCGGGGGAGGGGGGGGGGAACTTACTGCTTTAACTGAATACACACAAACTATACCACAGAGAAATAGACATGTGTCAATAACATTAAGGTTCATACCTGCATGTACAATGAAGAAGGCCTCTACGGCTGGTTGTAGTATGAGGACGGCATGATGGTCAGGTGTCTTGGCAAGCTCGGAAAGGCAGTCTCCCAGAACCGTCCAAAGATCGTCTAGAAGGACTTGCTCACTAAGTCGTGGCAGAGCAGTAGACTCATCCTTGTCCTTCTTTTCTCCTGATGTACCTAAAACAATGTCAAAAACTTTCACATGAGAAGTCTATTGTCAATAAAGAGGTTGGTAAACAATACATTGTTCTTTATTTTAAGGGTGATACAAAGAAAATGTCTGCAACAAAAGGGCAAGGTCACCAAATACGTAAATAGTAAACCTGAAACACAAACTCATCTGGGGAATTCTCCTTCAGGAAATTTGTACCTTGAAGTTGCAGGAGAGATGTCCCCAAATTTGTTGATGACTTCATGCATATATATATAATGACCAATGACATTGACTTGAAAAAATAACTCATCTCTGGTAATATCATAAAAAGCTCGTTTTAAAGACCATTCAGAAATGATGTCTCCAGGATGATGTCTTTGATGTAAATGAAATTGAAATAAAGTCTGGATCAAAATAAATTTGGTAGAATGACATATTCTGGACAGGATAGACATATGTGACTCTATTAATGAATGGTTAAAAAGAATTTCCCACAAAATGGACCTAAATGTTTTTTTATGAAAAATCAAGTGTGTAAATCTTTTATAAAACAAGTTATGTTGAAAGTCATGAATATCCTTCTGAGTGTCTCCTTATCACAAACATCATCTGTGGCTGATACTTACCTGGCTGATCAACATCCATAGGGGTTTCTGCACCCGATTCTCGTGCAGATTCTGTAGGCGTAGGTTGATCACTGCCCCCTGGAGCTGCTCCCTCCACCTCATTTGCTCCACTTTGCTCCCCAGTAGAAGCTGGAGTGGCCTCGGAAGAATCAACCTGTGCTGCAGGTGTGGCTCGCTGTTGCAACTCACGGATCTGGTGATTCTGCTGTGCACGTCGTCCAACCATCTCTATGATAGCCTCCGCCTCAGCCTCTAACACTGCCATGGCCTCTGCAATGTTACCCAAATCCCGTGAAGCTGAAACATCCAATACAATCTTGTAGAACTAGAAAAAGTCTACAAGATGTGAATTTCCTCTGTCCATGCAAATTTGATTCAATGTTTGTTAATTTTCTATTAATAACAAAGGTGACCTTGACCTTGGCTCCCTGACATTCAAAACTATTACAAGAGATCTCATAGGGATCTTGGTGTCCACCAATGTTTGATGATCATTATTTGTTCCTTAATCATTTTTTTCTCTCCTCTTCCTTTTTGCCCTCAAGACGACAATAATATTATGGAAAATTAACAGATGTATGATGTATAATTACTGTGGATGAAGATGCAATAATGAAACTGAAGTGAGTTGGGAAGCTTAAGATTAATGAAAAGAGTTAAGTTCAGAAACAACTTATCACAGTAGTATTCTTTTGTATGTATGTAATAAAATTCAAACTTATTTATGTAACACAATTCCCAGCTCTGTGTAATAATCAGTCCGCTTGTGCTTTTAGTTTATACACAAATGACTGCACAATATGCTTCATATCTAAAACTGTGAGAACTTGACCATACTGGTTTGTCTTCGTCCCCGTTTGACCATGGTCCTGGCAGCATCTCGCAGTTGGATGATGACCTTGAGGATACGGAGAAGGAACTGCTGACTTGACGTCTTGTTGGTTAGAAGGTTCATAGAGGGAAGCTGCAACTCTCGCCCTCCTTTGACTTTTTTAGGGGCTGCAACTACAATAGCAGTACCCTGTGTAAACCTGAAAAAGAATTAAACCAGTTATTTATTGTCAAGGTAAGGACAATTTCCAACAATACTTTACATATATTTTACTTCATCAAAGTCCCAATACTACAATAGTGGTAACCTCTGTAAACCTGAGAAAGAGTCAAACAAGTTATTTCTTGTCAAGATAAGGACAAAACTTCCAACACTACTTTTTAGTTTATTTCAGCAAAGCTATTTTATTCACAGCATGAAATAAAATTATAATCAAAATAAAAAAAAACTCTCAATAGTAATGGGACTTTCGTGACATGTTATGACAAGTTCTGTAGCAGATAATTAGCTATCAATAGTAATATAAAGATGTCATTATATCCCTTTTAAAGATAAAAATTTTACCTGTCTGGGAGAATACCCTTGCCCATGGGAGCTGAGGTGCTATCAGCCTCCTTCATCTCCTCATCTTCATCCCTAGTCTTTCCACTGTGCTTTTTGAGTTCATGTAGCAAGCTCCTGTAAGATTAAAAGTAAAAAAACATGTAGCTACTTATTCCACAATATGCCTACCATCAAAGACAATTACTATGTGTTCATTTTTGTTTACATTTAATTCTATACAGCAAAATCATACATTTTTGTTGTGCTCAATTTTTATGGTCGTACAAAAATATGCATTTTTGTTGGCACTTCATTTTGATATATTTTGCTCACAAAAACCACCAGTATTATGATCCATGTCAATGTTGCATTGTTCACCATTTTGTGGACTTTGTAAATTAACAGTATCCATGAATTCAGTGAAAATTTAACCTTCCCAGAAATGTGAGATGAGAATTTTTGATACAAATTTTAACAATTAACACCTCATCTTGTGAACTCAATAATGATAGCAACAAAGTGCACTAAAGTATCCCTTCCACTCTCTGATAAATGTAGTATTACGTTAACCTTGACCTATCAATCTTAAGAGACGGCACCTAAAACACTTGTCTCAAATAAATCTAATCTGTCACAGGGTTTACCAGATGTAGTTTACACAAAGTTTGACCTTTAACCCTGATCTGACCACCATAATTTAATCAGGTGTATAGAATGATGTTACCATTTAATAAAGTAAAATATAAGTTAAATCAACATAAACTGATTAAAAGGTTAAGTGTGACCTTTGATCTCTTAACCAGTACTTATAGCTACTAAAACCTAATAATGTCTGAAGCTTGATGTTAGGATATTACTACATTAGTACAAACTAACATAACTATAAAGTAGATAAAGGGTGGAGCATCAACATCAGGGATTCTGGGACTTCGTAGATTTCATTGGTTGACACGTGTCAGATGGCTAGGCCAACAGTCATCAGAATCAAGCTATCATTTTCCCTGATAAGTCTTGTTAACAAGTGTATATACAAAGAGAGGGATTAAAAATTTAAATGTTAATCTTTTAATTGTCTCTCGGAACATAATATCACATAAACTTAGAATTAGATCAATGTCAAAGCTGTGATCTTTAACCTATCATTAAAACTGTATACCTGATGTGGCTACAAACAGTGTGCCCAAGTTCCTGTGCACCCTCAAGAAGCAGCCGCAAGACAGCATTTCTTGTGGCATTGTTGGCCCATGACATGCGCAAGAGTAAGTTGGTTGCATCTTCCAATCCCTCCTCTGAACACGACTTGGATGTCAGTACCTGTCAGTATAAAATCCCCAGTTTCAGACAATATACTCGCCTACTTATTTCAGTGAGAGGAACACTGTTGTATCTATTTCCCAATTACAGTCAACATACTTGCCTACTCCTTCTAACGAGGGAAACACAGTGTTATCAGTTTAGATCTATTGAAGATACTTTTTGTGTAGGTATCCTTTGGATATTTTAAGTTAGAAATTAATCAATGATAATATTGGTTTTGGCATCCTCTGTAGTAGCTACGTTACCAAGAGTGCTGATCACAACAAATCAACATCCAACGATGCTTAACACTACATTTATGTAGCACTGACTAACGACCGGAGATGTCACAACAGTACACCACCGGAGATACACAGTGCTAAATTATTAACAAATTCTACTTGTGTTTGGCTATTGCTAATTCATTTGCAAACGCGTTAAAAAGGACAAAGTGTGGCATTACCCCACTGCACCTAACTCAAGGACAAACCAATGATAATTTTATGCAAACCTTGACAGCTAGTTTGAGTTGATCCTCCAATATAACGGTGGCTTCTTCCTTCTCCTCCACCTCCTCCTTTTTTGTATCTACAAAAATCATTGTCAATTTGAATTTAAGTTAAATTACATAATGACACACTTGAATTTTTACACTACTTCAGTAGAATGTAGAGTCATTGATGTTGGAAGCTTTTTCCGTCTGCATGTCTACTTCTTGGTATTGCATTCATACATAATTCAATGTTCTTCCACAACCAAACTTTATTATAAAATCTAATATGAAATAATATTGCTCTGATTTTAGGAAAGAATGATTCTATAAACTGTTTTAAATGACCCAAGCTGTTAGGTCAAACATTGAAACATAAACCTGCCATGTTTGTAGTAAGGCTCTACAACTTCATGCATCATAAATTATATATACTCACCTTCAGACTTGGCAGTTACTTTGACCTCAAGGGGTGTGGTGCTTGGTGTAGAACTGGCAGTGACCACCTCTGAAACAACTGGTGTGCTCACAGATGATGTAGCTGTCGACATTGCTGTTGATGTGGCAGTTGTTGGCGTGACCACAGACGGTGTTACCATGCTGGATAATAGACTAGGTAGGGTACTGGTTGGTGCCTGTGAGGTAGCCCTGTTACCCTGTGTCATGTCAGGCAGACTCATAGACACAAGGCCAAGTAGTCTAAGTAGCCGGTCTGTGAGCAGCTGGCTACGCTTCACCACTGGATGAGATAACATCAACATCAGCTGGCCCAGTGGTGATGATTCAAAGTTGTAAAAATTAGCCTCACCTTCTGTATTGCTAGCATTATGAGTCCGTTGAACACCTTTACCTTTGCGATTCATATTTACATTGTCTAATTTTATAAGATGGTCCCAAAAGTCTGTTTCTGACTTTGGAGATTCGACACCAGATGTTGATTGTTTGGGACTTCCCTGGACTGTAGAAGTATCAGTGCCACTATCTTGTCTCTCCTCCACCTCAGTCTCCTCACATTTGCCTACCTCCTTGGCTTTGGAAGCTGGCAAGAATTGACTAGGGAACACTTTAGCTAGGGCAATCAATGTGTCAAGAACATGTCTACACACAACAGGAGCAGCTTGGGGATGCACAGTCACAGTGCCAGTACATGAACCCCCAGGCACATGTTTTTTGCCCACCTTCTGAATCTGGAAGACGTTTGCACGACACCCTAGGGCAGCCTCAAGACTAATGGACAACCAAGAACCTTGGCTCTTTGTGTCACATTTCAAAGAGACGTCGGGGGAAGCGGAACTTGCAGTCTTCTTTTTCCCCTTGTCTCCAGCAGTACATTTGCCTTCCTCCACCAAACATTCACCTGTCTTTTGCAGAATTGAGAGGAGAGCACGAATCACCCATATCCTTGTGGGACTATGGTAGCACAGATTGCGCAGGACACGATGTAGCCTGCTAGTGTTTATCTTTGGTTCATCCACAAACAACAAAACAACAAGACAAGTGAGTGCCTCATGATCCAGAAGGTGTCGTCCCCGGAATTTGATTGCATTTACTCCACTACCAGAGGAATGGTTGTCCATACGATTTGAACCCCATGCCCACTGATTACTTCCTCGAGGCACAGCACGAATCGGGGGCACAGCACGAAGGGAATATCTCCCAGCACCCAACCTACCTGCAAACCCTGCACATAGACAAATTAGTGAGGAACTGTTTCACATAAAATATCATGCAATTTCCTTTATAATTATGAATAACACATTTGCAAAGCTTCAAATCTGCTGGCACTATTGAATTTGGTTAATATTGATATCCATGTTTCATTTGCTCATTTCTGATCAGAAACAGTAAAGTTTTACAACATATATAATTACATCTAACATTTGATTGGGAAGATTAATCTTTGAATATAAGGGAGAAACTTTTAAATGTGATGTCAGTGTTTCTCTACTTAGAGACATCTTTTCACTTTAACCAAGTTTAGAGAGATGTCGTGTATTTATGACGTCACCAAAGTGTCATCAATATCAGAAAATAGTAATTTGATATTACAAATGGACTCGATGCCATTAAATACAATATGACATTAAAAACAACCTATGAAAATCTCAATAATCAAATTCAATCATTTATTTTACATTCATTGTAAAATTATTTTGATTACCAGAGTGTCTTAGTATCGCAGAGAGAGAGCCAGCCCCAGCCTGGGCAAATAGACGGTCCTGCATCAGTCGCCGATGCCGATCCTCTAGTTCCCTTCGGAGTGACTGTGCCTCGGCAGCTAGGTCAGGTGGAAGTACAGCCACCATGGTGTCATCCATATCTGCCAGGACTTGTTGCCGTAGAGATGAGGGAAGTGTTGCTAAGAAACTAGCTGGATCTACAGGAGCATCTGTACCTGGCTGAGCAGGAGTATTCTGGGCCTGAAGACGAGCCTGTTCTGTTCTCTGTTGAGCCAGTACCTAAACAGAGAAAATTATCTTTGAGCTATTCCACTCAAAATATTTTTCTCACGACAGAAAATCATGTAATAGCAAAAGACAAAATTCAAAAGCACCATTCTAGGTTTCCTACAGATACTCCCCACCATATATTTCCATTCAGGTCAAAAAGAGTGAAATAATTTGTTGAAGCTTAATTCACAATGATCGTAAAATAAATGAGGCATCAAAAACAATGAAATACTGTTACAGTTCAGCCTTGACCGAAGCTCCATACCTGATAGCTAAGAGCAAAGTTTGATCCTGATCTCTACTGGGATAAAGTAACTCGAGAGATGAGAAGGACTTCCTTGTAATAAGAAGAGGCCTTAACACTACAACCTTAAAACTCAAGTTGTCCGAGAGACATTAATGGTCCCAGAGAAAAAATGAATAAAACTCCCCCAAGGAATAGAGCTACTACAGTGATGAATTTTTTTCTAAAAATAGAAATGGTGACCTTTATCTTAGAACGCTGAAACTCAAGATATTAAAGTCCTTTAAAGTATGCAGGTTTGATCATACTTACGACCATTCATAAACTACTCTATATCGTTGCACAGGGATTAAAAGGATGCTTACCTCCTCCTGTATGTTTGGAGGCAAGGCAGCTAGAAACTCTGGGTTGACTTCCATGGTGCCGGTGTTGTGGGCACTCTGGGCTTGCTCTCTGGCACTCTGCTGGATCCGCTGAAGTCGGAGCTGTTCTGCGATTACTTCTTGGCGTATATTGTCTGGGAGGGCAGCCAAAAATGATGGATCAACACCATCAGGAACAGCAGGATCTGTAAAATTTAATCATGTTAATATTGTAAATAGAGTTTAAGTATTAATTAAAAAAAAACCTTGTATAAGTCATTGCTTGATTTACATCATGTACTTGAAATCATTACTTCCCTCATGTATTCTAAAAAAAAAAAAAAAAAACAGGAATTTGATTTGAGATGTGATCAGAAAATGTAAGTACGATTGACATAGGGTACTGCTCATACCTGAGGCACTGCGCGAAGAGGATGGTCCTTCCACAGACCCTTCTGAGCCCAAAGTGGGCACAGTGTTGGTGGTAGTGGTAGGGACACTCCATGTAGAGGGGAGGCCACCTCTCATCATATCTGTTTCGCCCAGGGCACCCTCTGTGGCCATAGGAGGGAGGGGGATGGAGCTGGGGTCTAGAGAACGCAGGATACTGCTTGGCAGGAGTGGAGCATTGGGATCAAGGGGTGCTGAAGTGGAAGTAGAGACATTGGCCAACCCGGTGGCACCCTCCAACACTGAGGAACTGAAAAGTAACAATACATAAAAATACAGTCAAACCTGCCATAGGTGATTTTCAAAGGGAAAAACAATTTGTTTGGAGGAAAAATCAGTCACATGTGACAAGTGGTTGTTAAGGCAGGTTTGACTCAATATTTTTCCACAATAACATTTCTATCGTGTTGATCACTGAACACATAAAGGGCAGCTAAGATTCTAAAGTCAAGATGAAACAAACTGACCATCAGAAAGTAAAATCTTTCCCTCCAAATAAATTTACAATAAATGATTGTTCTGAAATCTTCTATTTGGATGAATATTATTTAATTTTAATCATCACATATTTTAAAAGTGGTTTAACTTAAACTTACATTGAAGCACCACCCATGAGAAAGCTGCGAAGGCCTGAGTCAATAGACTGGGCAGCCTCATGACTGATGATGGGAGATGAAGTGGTGGGCAACATATCTGGGCCTGACCCTGCCAACTCTTCTGAACTGGCTGTAAACAAAGGAGACCAAATTTCATACTAGGTCAAAGGTCATATGATCAAATATAAACACTACTGGTTAAAACTTGTATCAGTTCAGTGTTCACATACAAAGGTCAAAGTTCATATCAGTTCAGTGTTGATATACAGACTGTGCTATGAAAAAAACCAAAGGTCACACAAAGCTTATGATCATCACAAACATATATTCGTATGCAACAACAGGAACTGAAATAGTTAATGACAACTGTAAATAAGTACAAAGTTCACCATGTTATTCTGAAAAATTAATATACTAAGATACTTAAACAAGCAGACTTTAAACACAAATTCAAAATTCATCATGATACATCATCCTGCACACCATTTCTATGTAAATCAAAATTAGAACCGTATCATCTATAGCACTAACACAGGACGGGTCCCGCAATGTGTCAAGACTCTAAAACCAGAGTGTGGGTGGACAGATGGTAAAAGGACAAAGGCAGACAGACAATTTGATTGGTGGGGGGCATCACTATAATTAGAATTGTGTTTTTGTCCCGAAAACAACTTTTCATTTGATTCTTGACTTTTTTGCATCATGTCCTATAAAAATACTTGCCTGTAGAATATAAACAAGTGGCCCAATGGCCTGCAACATTCAACTCACCCAAATACCATGCCTCTCAGCCTTGTTCATGAGAAATCATTTAAATGTTTTAACAAATTTGACCTATGTGACTTTGAATATAAGACAAGGTCATTTATTTTCCCAAAATTAGTCTGGCTCCATCCTTGGAACATACCAGCCAAATATCATACTTCAAGAGAAGTCATCTTGATGTTTTTAAAAATTTGACCCTATGACCTTGAACATAAGTCAAGGTCATTTCTTTTTCTAAATTTGTCGGCTATCTTAGGAATGGGCCAAGTGAGCTAATAATCAATATCTCAAAGTTGACTTTGATCTTTGATGTTTGACCCGTAGTTGGACAACTTCTCCTTGGATTTCATTCAGTTATGTTTCATGTTATAAATAAATATTTCCCAATAACAAAGAATGAACAAACTGACAACTTTGATGTTGGGCCCCAACAAAGTCAGAGGTCAACCAGTCTGTTTTGGATAAATATTTAATGTTACTTCATCAAACCAACAGAACTCACTTTAATACTTAAAACCCAATGAGAAATTATACCAATTCTGATCAGTCCAAAGCTACACGAATCAACAGCAAGCAGAAAGTCAGAGGTCATATGTAATATCCATCAAAGTGTCTGACATAACACAAAACTAACCAGTGCACTTTCAGAGAAAAAAATTAGAGTGATTAAGTTTGCTCAGTCACAAACGATTCAGACTCAGTGGATCATCATTAAGTGCACTTGGTCATTAAAACTTCCAACAAATCACCGCTCGTGTCTATCACTGTAGAGTTGTGTACCTCACTTAATCCATCAATTGTTCTCTGTCCAGTGATTGTAACAAATTTATCACCTCATGTTAGATTTTAAATTGCCCTGTATTAACCAATACACCAGTAAATTTACAATCCCTGTATCAACTTTCACGTACCTGGATTCCGTATTTATATTTACAACATCAAAAGACCTAGTCATGCTATCAACATTCCGTCTATAAGATTACAGCAGAAACACAATATGGTGAACGAACCTGATGACTGGACAGTGACTGCTCCTGAACTGCTGATCCCAGACACCTCCTCTGGTGTGATGCTTCCTTCTGTAGGAGCAGCAGGTACAATAGATACTGGTTGACTTCCAACAAGTGGGGCAGGTATCTCCCCTAGTCCTCCAAACGTTGATACACCAGTCCGCTGTGTGACAGGTGAAGGGTCCTGATCACTTAGAAGCAGGGAGGCCAGATTTAGTCTTCCGTCATTCGGGGCTCGCTGTCTGTTTATACATTTACAAAATATGTTCATACATATAAATAATTCAATTTCAATCATAAGAGGAGACCAATAATTTTTTTTTCACTTCAGTCTGAGAGATTTTGTAAAAACTAGAAAATTTAACTAATGAGCTGACATGATGCAAACTGCAAATAACTGCATCTGCTCTGATTTTGGTTTGCCATCAATAAATCTTAACTTATGAAGTTTTAATACTTATGACAAAGATTTTACCTTGGCCGATCTGCCATTGGTGCCCCTGGGGTGGTGAGAGGGAGAGGGTTAGCAGGAGTGAGGAAGGTTGACATCACAGAAGGCGAGGCTGTGGATAGCAGGCCATCTGCTGGCCGAGAACCAGATTCTGATGGAGTGGTTGTTGACAAAATGCCTTCGACCATCTCAGTAGCTATTAGCTCTGCTGCAGCAGCAGCCTCAGAAGCACCTGAAAAACCGAGATAATGAGATTTCAGTTAGACTTCAATTTACAGGTAAAAGTAAACCAAATATCTAGTAATCTCTCAGTTGCATTGAACCTACAACACAACTTTGCATTTGACATAGAATTAATACTTACTGATATGGCGACCATTTGCTTCCTGGTTGGTGTCAGAGAGAGCAGTAGTCAGTAAACCAGTGTTGGCTTGAGGTGTGACTGTAGTTGTGCTACTACTTGCACCACCAGATGAGCTAGTTGGTGTCATCCCATCGAGAGATACCTATAAATCAATCATTTCCATCAATGAAATGTTTGTTTGAATTGTTAAATGAAAATTGCAATATCTGGTAGTAATCATACTTATTTATACTAATTTGGGCTGCATTTTAAAAACATTAATCTTTGCTTTCAACTTTTTCTCTCTAGTTTGTATAATGACCTAACTCCATCTGCTGTGGGGATATCCAGTCTACAGACTTTAACTTTTGCTCTTTGATTTATTTCTATCAGCTGTGATGATATCCAGTCTACAGATGCTGTTTTTTTCTTCTACTTACCTCCATCTGCTGTGGGGATATCCAGTCCACAGATGCTGTTTTTTTCTTCTACTTACCTCCATCTGCTGTGGGGATATCCAGTCCACAGATGCTGTTTTTTTTCTTCTACTTACCTCCATCTGCTGTGGGGATATCCAGTCTACAGATGCTGTTTTTTTTCTTCTACTTACCTCCATCTGCTGTGGGGATATCCAGTCTACACATGCTGTTTTTTTTCTTCTACTTACCTCCATCTGCTGTGGGGATATCCAGTCCACAGATGCTGTTTTTTTCTTTGACTTACCTTTATCTGCTGTGGGGATATCCAGTCTACAGATGCTGTTTTTTTTTCTTCTACTTACCTCCATCTGCTGTGGGGATATCCAGTCTACAGATGCTGTTTTTTTTCTTCTACTTACCTCCATCTGCTGTGGGGATATCCAGTCTACAGATGCTGTTTTTTTTTCTTCTACTTACCTCCATCTGCTGTGGGGATATCCAGTCTACACATGCTGTTTTTTTTTCTTCTACTTACCTCCATCTGCTGTGGGGATATCCAGTCTACAGATGCTGTTTTTTTTCTTCTACTTACCTCCATCTGCTGTGGGGATATCCAGTCTACAGATGCTGTTTTTTTTCTTCTACTTACCTCCATCTGCTGTGGGGATATCCAGTCTACAGATGCGGTTTTTTTTCTTCTACTAACCTCCATCTGCTGTGGGGATATCCAGTCTACAGATGCTGTTTTTTTTCTTCTACTTACCTCCATCTGCTGTGGGGATATCCAGTCCACAGATGCTGTTTTTTTTCTTCTACTTACCTCCATCTGCTGTGGGGATATCCAGTCTACAGATGCTGTTTTTTTTCTTCTACTTACCTCCATCTGCTGTGGGGATATCCAGTCCACAGATGCTGTTTTTTTTCTTCTACTTACCTCCATCTGCTGTGGGGATATCCAGTCCACAGATGCTGTTTTTTTTCTTCTACTTACCTCCATCTGCTGTGGGGATATCCAGTCCACAGATGCTGTTTTTTTTCTTCTACTTACCTCCATCTGCTGTGGGGATATCCAGTCCACAGATGCTGTTTTTTTTCTTCTACTTACCTCCATCTGCTGTGGGGATATCCAGTCCACAGATGCCCCTTTACTGTTTTGCTCTTTCTCTTTTTTGGCAGCTGCCTCTTCCTCTGCTGCTTTCTTGCGTTTTTCCCTTCGCTCTGATAGCTCTTCATCACGGTGCTGTTCTAAAACTTCCATAATCTCTGGCTTTAATACTGCAACAAGGTATGTGAATGATATTATCAATATGTAGAGTAGCTCTGACAATATACCACATTAATTGCTTACTTCCAGTAATGTACAAGTATAGTATCAAGGTCATTACTTACATCTGCTGAACAATATCATACATATTTGCTATATCCTATTTCAAAATAGCAGCATATACATCAACACATACTATATAAATTCATCATACATCACTTAAGTATAGTATACGGAGAACTGTTTTATATCATCTTTACTCACAAGCCCATGTTGATATTTTATTATAACAGTATATTATACATTAAACTTATCAATATCTGACAGAAGCCTAAAGTGTTTTACTACATTTATACCTGTCATGCAGTCGTTTATGCTGTCGCCATCCAACACTTTGGCTTCCTCAGTCCATCTAGTCAGTGTGGAAGGAATGTAGGTAAGTACACCTGACCCCGCCGCATTACTGTCCGTGTAGGGCTCCTATCATATATAAGGTTGTGTATATAAATATATATGTACAGTTATGTACTGCTATCCGTGTAGGGCTCCTATCATATATAAGGTTGTGTATATAAATATCTATGTACAGTTATGTACTGCTATCCGTGTAGGGCTCCTATCATATATAAGGTTGTGTATATAAATATCTATGTACAGTTATGTACTGCTATCCGAGTAGGGCTCCTATCATATATAAGGTTGTGTATATAAATATCTATGTACAGCTATGTACTGCTGTCCATGTAGGACTCCTTTCAAATATAAGGCTGTGTATATAAATATCTATGTACAGCCATGTACTGCTGTCCGTGTAGGGCTCCTATCATATATAAGGTTGTATATACAAATATCTATGTACAGCTATGTACTTCCTCAGCTATGTGATACTACAATGTCCACAAACCAATTCACATTATCAAACATAGGTTTACTGGTACAGGGCTTTGTAACGAAGATATGATTGATGTCCAATCACATCTTTCCAAATTGTATTCAAAACACTATCATACTGAAAGTCTCCTTACGATGCCAAAATTGTTGTGCACTGGTGGGGTTTTAACAAGAGAAGACTGTTTATTGTTATACTGATATTGAAATCAGCAACAAATTTTCTGATCTGTGACTATTTTGAATAGACAACTTATCCTACACTGTACTTCCAAGTTAAACATGTCGCCTTACCTGGAAGAGCTCTTCAAAAAAGTCTTCTTCAGGTCGAGACATGAGGCGCAGGTCATCATTGGGCAAGACTACACGTGTTGGGGTTGGTCCAGCTACAGATGTCAGGGTACTAGTCAGCTGAAGAACTTCGGCTGCGGTTGTTGGGCCCAGCAGTCTGTGACATAAAAATAAGTTATTAAACCAACTGCATGAATTTAATTTACAGTTGTAGTGATAACAAAAGATCTTTTATTGATTAAGCACCAGAAACCAAACTGGTCGGATGAACCACAGAAAAATTTTGTGTATATCACAAAAGCTGGCCTAAATGAGCTACTACTCACCTCTGTAAAATAACAGGTGGGTTTGGAGGACGTGGGAAATTAACATGGAGTGTTTGTGTAGAAGGGTTGTAGCGACAGGTACCCCTTTGACGCCCTCCTCGGTGAATACGGGCTACCACACCATGCGTGTCAGGCTGGCGAGTCAACAAGGGATGGGTGGCCATCACATTACTGGGTGCAGGAGGCACAACTGTTGGCACTGAAATACACACATGTTGAGTCAGTGACACACTCAACTAAAACATATCTCTCCTCTCAATACTGTAGAATGCTTTTAATTCGCACATTTTGTCATTTTCACAACATCAAACGGAAAAGAAAATTTTTGTAAATTGCATCTTTTGAAATATCCAAAATAACAACATCAAAAAGACTTTCCTAACTTGATACAGCAAATGTCAGACAACACAACACAAACAGCACTGTAGACTATGGATGAACTAATGTGACCGAAAGGCTGTGCTGTCCAACTGCTGCCAATTTGGCATGTCGTGGGATCACAGCGCGAAGTGAAAGCACATTACAGTAAAGAAGCTTTACCTGCGAGCTCATTGCCATTATCATTGTCGTGTATGGAGATGGGGCATTGTAAGCCATTAAAGTTGTGCAGCCGACGATTGTTGTCCAGGGAATCGAATATCACATGCTGGTCTCCTACAAGTTAAGAGTAGATACATACACATCACAGCACTCGGGCTGGCAGACTGCTGTCTTACTCAACATATTTATGGCTTCCTACAAACAACGTTATGTCCTAACAACTAGGTCACTGTATTCTACCAACAAACAGTCCTCAATCACCTGAGAGTCCTTTAAAATATGTAACAACCCTTAAACATCAGACAGTAAACACTGGAATCATACAAAAATTCATTGTTTAGCACTATCTCAAGTACACAAGAAATCTTTACTCCCACTCCAGTTTCATCAACTTTTCTTCTAGTCAGTTTTTACCACTCGAATCCTTACAAAAGGTATAAACAAGAGGCACATGGACCTTGACAGTCACCTAATCTCTTCTTGTAACATGTCATAGAAATAATCTAGTTAATAGGTAAGTCAACTTCAACTACTCTGTACATGTTATGCAGATATAAACAGTGCATAACATTAACTGCCATCTCATGTTAAGACTACCTTTGAATTAAAAAGAAATAACAGTCAAAAATGTAATTTTCCTATATAAACTCTTCCATCCATAAACAGTTTTTAATAGATTCTATCATTCTATGAAGTAGGGACCATATAATTGACAATTTTGGTGTAACTTTGGTCATGGAAGGTTTCTGCAAAATTTCATTGAAATCGGTTTAAGGATTTTTCAGAAGTTAAAAAAAAAAAAGAAGAACTTGAACACTTAAGATAATATACTTTTCTTCAGCACATGTGAACTGTATGATGTCTTATATTTGTTTGCTTTTGTCAATTTCTTTGACACAAATTTGGAAAACACAACAAAAACCAAGCACGCAACTTGAAAACTCCAAAGATAGGAAATTCCTTAAATTCCATATCACCAAACATGCTGGTTGTTAATGTCTTAATTACAAAGACGTCAATTTTTCATGGTATTCTGATGGCTATCTAAAGTGTTTGTATGATACGTGTATACAAATCGTACCAGGTAGTGGAAACATCATATCCTCCATGTTGAAGAATTCAGTTGCATCTTGAAACTGGTGGCCAGAGTGTGTGTCTATCTCCAAGTCATTATAATCATCCTCATCTTCTGCCTCCATGTCTGACCCCTGCAGAGATTCAAAAGTTTCCACTTAACATTTGATTTTATGCCTTAAGTCAATCATTACCTTTGTACTCTATAAGAAAATGATTTGCACAAGCCTCAGGCCTATCATTAAATATCATCGATTTTCATGTTTATGATGTCGACTGATATTTTCATCATTGGCTTTCTGTGCATTTTATGTCTGGTATAAAAATCATATCTTCACAATACACACCTCTTCATCTTCTTCATCATCATCATCGTCGTCATCCTGGTCATCATCATTATCACCATCATCATTGTCATCTTCATCTGCATCTGATCCACTCTCTGCGGAGTCGTCATCATGTACATCAACTGGCAAAAAAAAAGTACTTCAATGAAAGTGGTTTCAAGCTTTCAGATTTTGGACAGGAGACATGGTTATTAGAAAGTCAAGTTCTTCTAGCAGAGGAATTTGTCAGCATTTTGTTGGTGATATTGGACACGAGACAGAGTTACTTAAAGATCTCTTAGGAAAGGAACTAAACATTTCATGGATGGTTGAACTTTGGGAGGCTAGGGCCATGGATGGTCAATAAAAGAAACATTTCATCAGCAACACAAAATATGAACCCATATTTAAATCACAAAACACATGCCCAGGATGTTAAGTGAATGATTTTTGATGAACACTAGTTTAAATCCCTCCTCAGGCATACTATCTTTTCATGCCAACACTGCATCAATATTGAGTATTTTTAGTTTTATCCCATACTGAATGGTAAAATCTGAAACTGACTTACCATGAGTGTTGTCATCTCCTTCCTCATCTTCTATGGAGATTTCCTGACTGACAATGTGCGAGTCGTGGTGGTCCATCTCTTCCACATCTATCAGCTCATCATCTCCGTCATCACCATGATCATCCTGCTCCGAAGCCTGACTGATGTCCTCTATACCGAATAACCATGTTTTTATTAATACAAGCAACAATGTCAATACTACAATGACAACCCTTCTCTAATTTTCTAGTCTATTAACTATATTTTAACTTTTCTTTGGTCTCCACAATCTTCCTTGCAACTACTTTATTTTGAGTTATCTAGCCTTACAATTCAGCTCTGCCCAATTTCTTGAACACACTCCACATACATGTTGTTACACACAAGTTAAATAATAGGTATTTAATAACATTTTTTATGTCTCTCCTAAGAGATCAAAATTTGCATATCTTTCTTTTCAGTTCTGCACCTTGTATCTCGCAGCCAATTCTGCCAATATTTGCAAACTTTTCTTTTCCTGTACTGCTAGAACATTTTTTCTAGCGACAGTCACCTAAAAACTTACCTGTTTCCATTACAATATCTGCAAGAACTTCTCTTTCATTATCCAAATTTGAGTCTCTATTCAGCAGTTCATCAATGACATCTTGTAGCTGGGAACCAGGCTATGGGTAAAGCAAAGTTTTTTCTAAATATGCATGAAAGCAAACAATTTTCAAATCTTCCAACTTTTTTTTCCTGAACACAGAAGACCTTACTCAAGACAATTAAACTAATCAATGACAGGACCTTTAGAGGGAAATAATGAAGTTTGCACAAATTTCTCCATGTAAAATCTTAACAACTTTAGATATCTTTTTTCATCTTTTAACTCTATGACCTTGGAATGCCAGAGCAAAGTGAGCTAAAAACTGTGAGAGGATTACAATATCAAGAATGAATACATACATCTGTGTTGTCTAGATCATGTTCAGGTTCCTCAGCCTCCAAAGGCTCTGCTTCCTCTAGGTCACCATGTTGGTCAGCCTGATCTGTGATATCCTCAATGGTTACATCCCTTGTCTGTCCAAGGTTTCCTGTACCCCCCTCTGCTGCTGTTGGGTCAAAATATATCCATACAGTAATTACAGCTGTAACACTTAACAATACATAGTAAATACAGCTGCAAGGATCTACCTCATTCCCTGTATTTCATAGGTAGACTTTGTATTCTCTTACACTCTAAACAATCACTAACCTCTCCCAGTGTCTTACCAATGGTTTTAGTCTCTGTATTCACTAGAACATTCTCTTATACTACAGACAATCCCTAACCTCTCCCAGTGTCTTACCAATGGTTTTAGTCTCTGTATTCACTAGAACATTCTCTTATACTACAGACAATCACTAACCTCTCCCAGTGTCTTACCAATGGTTTTAGTCTCTGTATTCACTAGAACATTCTCTTATACTACAGACAATCCCTAACCTCTCCCAGTGTCTTACCAATGGTTTTAGTCTCTGTATTCACTAGAACATTCTCTTATACTACAGACAATCCCTAACCTCTCCCAGTGTCTTACCAATGGTTTTAGTCTCTGTATTCACTAGAACATTCTCTTATACTACAGAGAAACCCTAACCTCTCCCAGTGTCTTACCAATGGTTTTAGTCTCTGTATTCACTAGAACATTCTCTTATACTACAGAAATCCCTAACCTCTCCCAGTGTCTTACCAATGGTTTTAGTCTCTGTATTCACTAGAACATTCTCTTATACTACAGACAAACCCTAACCTCTCCCAGTGTATTACCAATGGTTTAAGTCTCTGTATTCACTAGAACATTCTCTTATACTACAGACAATCCCTAACCTCTCCCAGTGTCTTACCAATGGTTTTAGTCTCTGTATTCACTAGAACATTCTCTTATACTACAGACAATCACTAACCTCTCCCAGTGTCTTACCAATGGTTTTAGTCTCTGTATTCACTAGAACATTCTCTTAGTATATACTACAGAAATCCCTAACCTCTCCCAGTGTCTTACCAATGGTTCTAGTCTCTGTATTCACTAGAACATTCTCTTATACTACAGACAAACCCTAACCTCTCCCAGTGTCTTACCTGTGGTAGTGTTTTCTGTCGTAGTCTCTTGTCCAGCAGTGTGTTCACCCAAATCAAGTTTTCCCTTTGCCTTAGCTGTGACACCCTGTATGGGCTGATTAACACTGCGGGAAAGCGTTTCCAGGGGTTTCAGAGCTGAGTTGATAGTATTGGCCATGTAAGGACTGGAGAGGTCAAGGCTGTGAGGTATTCTAGCCAGGTCAGTCACCACGCCTTTCTTCAGAAGACTCTTTACAATGTTGTTCATCAGTGTTTGTTGTCCTTTGAACACCTCATTTGGCACCTGTCCAGGGCTTGGACATGACTCAATGATGATACTGATGAGATTTGTCAGCGATTGTATTCGCACATGTTTCTCAGAACTTTCAGGATGGGACAGAACACGCTGCAAGGCATTTTTAATTTCTGTTACTAGTGCCATCTGGGCATCAGGTCGGTTGTTACAGGAAGCGATACTCGCCACAAAAACACGGGACAATGCAGGGCAGTCTCTGTCTCCATACACTTGACACTGCGGCAACAGGTGGTCCAGTACAAATGCCAGTACGGTACATTCCTATTCAACAAAGAGAGTTTGTATCCTACAGTAAAAGCCATTACCATCAAACTACAATTCATCAGATCTAGACACTAAAACATGTTATTGCTAACCACAACCTACCTCCTGTGTAAGTTCTGACTACAAGATACCTCCTGTACAAGTTCTGACCACAACCTACCTCCTGTGTAAGTTCTGACTACAAGATACCTCCTGTGTAAGTTCTGACTACAAGATACCTCCTGTGTAAGTTCTGACTACAAGATACCTCCTGTGTAAGTTCTGACTACAAGATACCTCCTGTGTAAGTTCTGACCACAACCTACCTCCTGTACAAGTTCTGACTACAAGATATCTCCTGTGTAAGTTCTGACTACAAGATACCTCCTGTGTAAGTTCTGACTACAAGATACCTCCTGTGTAAGTTCTGACTACAAGATACCTCCTGTGTAAGTTCTGACTACAAGATACCTCCTGTGTAAGTTCTGACCACAACCTACCTCCTGTACAAGTTCTGACTACAAGATACCTCCTGTGTAAGTTCTGACTACAAGATACCTCCTGTGTAAGTTCTGACTACAAGATACCTCCTGTGTAAGTTCTAACTACAAGATACCTCCTGTGTAAGTTCTGACTACAAGATACCTCCTGTGTAAGTTCTGACTACAAGATACCTCCTGTGTAAGTTCTGACTACAAGATACCTCCTGTGTAAGTTTTGACTACAAGATACCTCCTGTACAAGTTCTGACCATAATTTACCTCCTGTACAAGTTCTGACTACAAGATACCTCCTGTACAAGTTCTGACCATAATTTACCTCCTGTACAAGTTCTGACCACAACCTACCTCCTGTACAAGTTCTGACTACAAGATACCTCCTGTGTAAGTTCTGACTACAAGATACCTCCTGTGTAAGTTCTGACTACAAGATACCTCCTGTGTAAGTTCTAACTACAAGATACCTCCTGTGTAAGTTCTGACTACAAGATACCTCCTGTGTAAGTTCTGACTACAAGATACCTCCTGTGTAAGTTCTGACTACAAGATACCTCCTGTGTAAGTTTTGACTACAAGATACCTCCTGTGTAAGTTCTGACTACAAGATACCTCCTGTGTAAGTTCTGACTACAAGATACCTCCTGTACAAGTTCTGACCACAACCTACCTCCTGTGTAAGTTCTGACTACAAGATACCTCCTGTACAAGTTCTGACCATAATTTACCTCCTGTACAAGTTCTGACCATAATTTACCTCCTGTACAAGTTCTGACTACAAGATACCTCCTGTACAAGTTCTGACCATAATTTACCTCCTGTACAAGTTCTGACTACAAGATACCTCCTGTACAAGTTCTGACCATAATTTACCTCCTGTACAAGTTCTGACTACAAGATACCTCCTGTACAAGTTCTGACCATAATTTACCTCCTGTACAAGTTCTGACTACAAGATACCTCCTGTACAAGTTCTGACCATAATTTACCTCCTGTACAAGTTCTGACCATAATTTACCTCCTGTACAAGTTCTGACTACAAGATACCTCCTGTACAAGTTCTGACCATAATTTACCTCCTGTACAAGTTCTGACTACAAGATACCTCCTGTACAAGTTCTGACCATAATTTACCTCCTGTACAAGTTCTGACTACAAGATACCTCCTGTACAAGTTCTGACCACAACCTACCTCCTGTACAAGTTCTGACCACAACCTACCTCCTGTGTAAGTTCTGACTACAAGATACCTCCTGTACAAGTTCTGACTACAAGATACCTCCTGTACAAGTTCTGACCATAATTTACCTCCTGTACAAGTTCTGACTACAAGATACCTCCTGTACAAGTTCTGACCATAATTTACCTCCTGTACAAGTTCTGACTACAAGATACCTCCTGTACAAGTTCTGACTATAATTTACCTCCTGTACAAGTTCTGACTACAAGATACCTCCTGTACAAGTTCTGACCATAATTTACCTCCTGTACAAGTTCTGACTACAAGATACCTCCTGTACAAGTTCTGACTACAAGATACCTCCTGTGTAAGTTCTGACTACAAGATACCTCCTGTGTAAGTTCTGACTACAAGATACCTCCTGTGTAAGTTCTGACTACAAGATACCTCCTGTGTAAGTTCTGACTACAAGATACCTCCTGTGTAAGTTTTGACTACAAGATACCTCCTGTGTAAGTTCTGACTACAAGATACCTCCTGTGTAAGTTCTGACTACAAGATACCTCCTGTACAAGTTCTGACAACAAGATACCTCCTGTACAAGTTCTGACTACAAGATACCTCCTGTACAAGTTCTGACCATAATTTACCTCCTGTACAAGTTCTGACCATACCTCCTGTACAAGTTCTGACTACAAGATACCTCCTGTACAAGTTCTGACTACACAAGTTCTGACTACAAGATACCTCCTGTACAAGTTCTGACCATAATTTACCTCCTGTTCTGACTACAAGATACCTCCTGTACAAGTTCTGACCATAATTTACCTCCTGTACAAGTTCTGACTACAAGATACCTCCTGTACAAGTTCTGACCATAATTTACCTCCTGTACAAGTTCTGACTACAAGATACCTCCTGTACAAGTTCTGACCATAATTTACCTCCTGTACAAGTTCTGACTACAAGATACCTCCTGTACAAGTTCTGACCATAATTTACCTCCTGTACAAGTTCTGACTACAAGATACCTCCTGTACAAGTTCTGACTACAAGATACCTCCTGTACAAGTTCTGACTACAAGATACCTCCTGTACAAGTTCTGACCATAATTTACCTCCTGTACAAGTTCTGACTACAAGATACCTCCTGTACAAGTTCTGACCATAATTTACCTCCTGTACAAGTTCTGACTACAAGATACCTCCTGTACAAGTTCTGACCATAATTTACCTCCTGTACAAGTTCTGACTACAAGATACCTCCTGTACAAGTTCTGACCATAATTTACCTCCTGTACAAGTTCTGACTACAAGATACCTCCTGTACAAGTTCTGACTACAAGATACCTCCTGTACAAGTTCTGACTACTCCTCCTGTACTGAAGTTCTGTACAAGTACAAGATACCTCCTGTACAAGTTCTGACTACAAGATACTGACCATAATTTACCTCCTGTACAAGTTCTGACTACAAGATACCTCCTGTACAAGTTCTGACCACCTACAAGTTCTGACTACAAGATACCTCCCTCCTGTACAAGTTCTGACTACAATTTACCTCCTGTACAAGTTCTGACTACAAGATACCTCCTGTACAAGTTCTGACCATAATTTACCTCCTGTACAAGTTCTGACTAAGTTCTGACAAGTTCTGACCATAATTTACCTCCTGTACAAGTTCTGAGTTCTGACTGACTAATTCCTGTACAAGTTCTGACCATAATTTACCTCCTGTACAAGTTCTGACTACAAGATACCTCCTGTACAAGTTCTGACCATAATTTACCTCCTGTACAAGTTCTGACTACAAGATACCTCCTGTACAAGTTCTGACCATAATTTACCTCCTGTACAAGTTCTGACTACAAGATACCTCCTGTACAAGTTCTGACCATAATTTACCTCCTGTACAAGTTCTGACTACAAGATACCTCCTGTACAAGTTCTGACCATAATTTACCTCCTGTACAAGTTCTGACCATAATTTACCTCCTGTACAAGTTCTGACTACAAGATACCTCCTGTACAAGTTCTGACCATAATTTACCTCCTGTACAAGTTCTGACCACAAGATACCTCCTGTACAAGTTCTGACTACAAGATACCTCCTGTACAAGTTCTGACTACAAGATACCTCCTGTACAAGTTCTGACCATAATTTACCTCCTCCTGTACAAGTTCTGACCATAATTTACCTCCTGTACAAGTTCTGACTACAAGATACCTCCTGTACAAGTTCTGACCATAATTTACCTCCTGTACAAGTTCTGACCACAAGATACCTCCTGTACAAGTTCTGACTACAAGATACCTCCTGTACAAGTTCTGACCATAATTTACCTCCTGTACAAGTTCTGACCACAAGATACCTCCTGTACAAGTTCTGACCACAAGATACCTAGTGTATAAGTTCTATTCACATCTGACCTTATACAAGAGATCTGACAAAAATTTCCTTCAAACACAAATTCTGAACACAAATCATTATTTCTCAAGAACCTGACGTGACCATAACATACCTTGTGTTCTATGTCTGTTCCTCAGAAACATGATTTGACCACAACATACCTTGTGTTCTATGTCTGTTCCTCAGAAACATGATCTGACCACAACTTACCTCGTTTTCAAGTTCTGACCCTAACTTATCTTGGGCATAAGTCTCTGGCTATAAGTTAATACAGACATGTAATGGGACCACAACTTACCTCAGGCACAAGTTCTGACTGGCCGCCAATGTACACATGTTGAGTGATGAGCTGTGTACAACTGCCGTAAGACTTGACCATCTCAGACAGCAGTCGTAGGATTAGGGACTTTGGCATCAGAAGACTCTGTTTGCGACTATCCTCAACTGTCTTTGTATCCTTATCTTTAGTCTGGTCCTTACTTCCTCCTTGGTCTACTGTAAGATCTGTTTGACTCTGATAACCAAAACGACAGGTATTATTACTATTACAAACCTGGACATTTAAATGCCTACAACATCTTCTGCCACCTTTCCCCTCCCTCCAATCTAACTTCTGAACATATCACTATTTATTTTTATATAGCCCTCGAAAGTGATAATGAATGAAGGTAAAATGTGTATCATAATCATACTATTTAAGTTTTATTTCAGGATTTTTTGTTCATTCACTAAAATGCATACCATACTGAAATGTACCTGGAAGTAGCAACATTTTTCAAAGTCACTCATTCCTTTCACAGTCTGCATAATTTTTTTTAACCAAACCACTCTTACATTCCCAGAATGACGTTTATTTTCACAGAATTACATACAGTGGATTCTTCCTCTGGCTGGAGATCAGCCGAGCTGTTTTGGCGGACCATGTTGGCCTGTCTCTCCTGGAGTTCGCGTGACATTTCAGCAATAGCTTCTGAGAGTGGCTGAGCAGCCTTCACTTCCATGCCTACACTGGCAGCTGTGGGTGCTTTAAGTAATACAGAACATAACATCAGCTGTTTCCTCTTACCTCCATAGCTGTTCTTTTAACAGTGGTTACTAACAGGGAAATTGTTTTAAGTATTACTTGTTAAAATCTATACGACTGTGCTCAACTGGATTCTGCTCTTGTATGACTAATTCACATTGCAATAAGGAGAATGACTTATCGACCTTCATCTTCATATTTGGACGTATCACACACTTTGTACTTATATTAGACAGTTTGTTGTGAGAAAAGAGGTCTTACCTTGTTCTCTGTAATTACATTTGACAATAAGGCAGTTGAGTAGGTCGTAAAGCACCTCCTTAATTGGAGATTCCACTGTATGGGAGATAACTTGCTTTGTTGATATGCTCTTTAGTATCTGTGGTGCATTTGGACCATAAAATCGGCTCTCATCCTCATCTGTAAGAATTCAAACAAAGTTCAAAAAAAGTTATATTTGTTTATCAGTCTTTAAGAGTTTATCGTCAGCCTTTTAAGCTTAACTTTTCACAACTTGGGTCAAAGAAGTTTCTTTCACTAATTAACCCATACTGATATTTTTATGGTGCTAATGCAAGACTAATTCAGTTTAAACTGTTGAAAGGACTGAAAAGAAATTCTCATCTTTACATAAATACCAAATTCAGCTGACGTTTTATAAAACGAATACAATTTTATAAAAAAAAGTTACATGGAGACAGTTAGCTGTCAAATCTGAACAGCTGACAAGAACTTCACATGACAATGACCTGACCTGAGAGTTCAATAACTCAAGTACAAAGTGATAATATCCTTTCTTAACAATGATCTCTCAAAAGAACATTTTTTTGGCAATGTGGAAATTTCAACTTCTAGACAAAAACTTTCCAATGTTCAAAAACTATCTTGAGGAAAAAAATATTCAAAGTTTCAAAGTGCAGATTTCTCTGTACACTCTACAGGGTAAAAAAGTATAAAGAAATTACCACGTTTAGAGGGACGTGGAAGGGCTATCCTTAGTGTATTTCTCGCCACCTCCGTAAACATGCCCGGATTACGACAGGCAGCAGGCCCAAGGACTCTTAACACATAGTGCAGTTCCTTAGACCCCATACTACCCTGCTGTACACCACTTAAACTGGAGCCAGACCCAGACGTCGCTTTCTTGATTGCCTGTCAAACAAACCAGATGCAAGTTTTGATAAATCCTTGTATTATCTGAACAAACATCTTAAACATCATTTATGAAAACAATGAATATATATCTTACTACACATGTATAATTCATGATTCATTCATGATATTTAAAAAAGAGTGATACCATTTCTTAACTTTTCAACAACTCCTAAATGTGCTCTTTTGAGAATGATAATTTTAATGTATATGCATACTTGACAGATGTCAGCGTATATATATATCAATCTCAATATTTTGGAAATTAGTATTGTGATTTACTTCATTTTGCAATACAGATCAGTTTACCTTTTCCATACAGTACTTCAGAGAAGCAGGCTCCTCTAGAATATGTCTGAAGATGAGTGTGGCTAGAGAAACAAAGCCCTGGAAAGCTGATGCTTGTGTGAGATTCAGCAACACTTTAGGGCCTCCAAGTTCTGCAAAGAGGACTGCGTACTTGTGTTCTCGTGTCAGCCGTAGAATGAGGCGTAGCGCTGCATGAAGACTCTCAGCTTCCACCGGAATGTTTAGAAGGGCCACCACAGACCTGTAAGTGGATATATAATTTCATACTATTACCTGTCTAATAATTTTGAAAGTTTTACTCTGTAATATAAAATAATCACCAGGCTTGATTTAGCAGCTTGTGATATATTAATTTGGTAAAGTCTTTGAATTGACAGGAAATCATCCAAGTGTAGAACCTAAAAGATATTTTCTAGGATGTACATCTAGCCAAGAAGAATCCCAATTTTTTTCAATAAAATGAAATACTTTTTGTACAAATAAAAGTTGTTTTAGAGAATTAAAACTGCCAGAAAATATGGTAATCACTTTCATTGTTGTTGAAATCATGTAACATTCTAAGGTTAGAAAATTGAAGTGCAACTGGCTTAAACATGAAAAACCCCATTTCATTACGTCCTCAATACTCACCTTATAACACTGGTGACCTGATCAGAATTTAAGCCATTTACAATCTTTGTTTCCCGTGTTATTTTTCTCTCCACTGGTTCTGTTTCCATGTTGCTCTCTGTGTAAACATAGTCAATTTCAAATAATATGATTTTCCCCCAAATTTCATAAATAATATCACGAAAAACCTAACACAAACTGAAAGACTTATTTCACTTATTAAGACTTAACCAAGGTAACTTGGTAATCACTCTGTCAATAAATTTCTACCTTGTTCTCTGAAATCCTGTTATTTCAGTGAGAAAACAAAATGAAAAACTTGCTTTTCCTCAGTGACAGTTACTCTGTAATTTGAATTCTGCATTTGAAGTTACCATTTGACAAAAACATTTTTAGAAGAATAATAGCAGATAACTAGTAATGTGAATTCTTTCAGTGATTTGTAGCTGAATATCTTAGTCTACAAAGAGGAAGTCAGTCTTATATGTTAACAGCAGAGCATTGGTTCCTGCCTACCCGACACAGGACTGGGCTGGGAAACATCCCCATCTTTGTTGGAGACCTTCTTATCTTGGCCCTGTTCTGCTTGTTGTTTCTCCTCAACGGTAGGCAGAGTCAGCATGATTGGGCGCCTGTTACCTGTCTCCTCATTAACCTGCAATATGGAATAGAATTTTGTAACCTTTGATGCACAGGTAAAATCTGGTCACTCGTAAACGATCATTAAGTAAATACCCAATAATCCCAACATAGAAAATATGAAGAACGAACATATATTTATTTATAGAATTTACCAAAATTGTGTATTGTATACATTACGTTGATACTCATTATGCAAGATCTGCGAAACACCTACATTCCAGTGTATACCATTTGTACAGAATGGAAACGCCAACATGATATTACTAATTTAAAGCCTGGAAATTTCGAAGATATGACAATGAATCAGGATTGATCATGATGGGACGACAGACAGACACAGGCAACGCTATAGAATAGAGATGATTGTGGCATTAAATGAAGAACAAAAAAAATAGAGTGGACAGGAAAAAGAGCTCTTCAATACGAACGAGTATGACCGTTAAAACCTTTGCTCCGACAAGAATTACTTTTTAGCTTGGTAGAAGAGATAAAACTGGGAAAGAACACTGTTGATCTTACCTGCATCATGGTGTTAAAATGGACAGTGTACCTTCTCCTGCCAGCCTGGAACCTACAAAATACAATGTCAACACAATGTCAAACAGAAACAGCTGTATACATCACTCGAAAGATTTTTATGGGTAATTTAGTAGATTCAGTGGCAATAAAGTATTGGTGAAAGTCTACAACAAATTCTGTCTGGCCCTGGACTAACTAGAACACTGACAGGTTAGCAAGGGCCCAGCAACTGACAGATTACTGGCAAGACTTTAAGTACTCCCTGTCACAAAAGTCCAGAAAGACTGTCGTGGGGAAAAAAAACCAACATACTAACAAATACATTCAACAATCTGATTTTTTTTGAAAATTTATTACAACAGTGACCTTGACATTAAAAATTAGGATTTAAAAAGCAATATCCCATGCAAGCACTTTTAGAAAGGAAGCATTGTATGAAGTGGAATTTAGGTTGGGCAAAGCAAACTCAAGTTATCACACAGAAACTTTTTTTCTGTTTATAAACATTGACCTTTGACCTTCAAAACTGTAAAGCAATCCCAATTTTTTGCATGGAAACTGATTTTCTACTTATAGCAACAGCAACCTTGAACTTTAACCTTGAAAGGTGAAAAGCTACAAATCCCAAACAAGCACTTCCTTCAAGGAGGCTTGGTATAAAGTGTGAGTGCTACTTGCCCAACTGAATTTGAGATACTGTACAGAAACAAAAAAAAAGTCAGACAGATGGATGGACGGACAGACAGACAAACTGATTACTTTAGAGCACCAGCATCTCTATGTGGGCCCTAATTATCAATAAGGAGGGAATCTGAATCACTAACACCCTGTAGACTCATTTCACTATAAAGGTTGGTACAAGAAATTACCTCTTTGTATCACTCAACACAAGTGGACAAAAGACATACCTGATGCTGGATTCTCCTGCCTGGTAGGCGTCGTCAATTGTTTTGTTGTTGCCAAGACTGTATTTACACCAGCGTCCAGTACTGTCATCAAACCACTTCCATGTATGACTGGCCGCCTGTCAAAATCAGTCAAGCAAGTCAATGCACTGAGCCCATTTCCTTTCAAATGTTGCCAATTTTCGAAAGAATTCTTAAAATGTCAGTTTGTAGTATGTAGTATAAATGTTACTATCTGAGACCATCAGAGCTTATTCCATGAGGAAGAGCATACAATAATTTGCAATGACAAAGCTGCTGTCACAAGATTGATGGGTTGGATTGCCTAACCTAAGCCTTATCAATATCAACTGTTATGACAAACCCTTGTCTTGGACATACTCTTTAATGGGATGTTACTATAAATATCAAATATCTGTCAATATGTAAAATACTGACAGATCAATTTTGGTTTGATGTTCTTAAAAACAACAAATACATAGTTATTTAATGCAATTTCTTTTTTTAGCTAGCTAAAGATTTGAAATAGTCAGCCTGAAATGACATCATTAGGCTGAAATACAAAAAGTAACAAGACTTACCAATAGTTTCTCAGCATCCACCTTGCGTCTAGATATCACAGATACTTTTTCATACAAGTCCAACAACAGCAGCAAAGGTGCTAGCCATCTACAACAAAGTAAAAGCTCCATTGATTGACTTCCATTATCTAAATATGGAACCACCACAATCATGAACCGAAACAATATTTCAACAAGCTTACAGTTAGTGTTGTATGTAATGCTCATTACCAACCGTTAACATTTTCTAAGCAACATATAGACCTTGTTAGCAATGAACTGATGTCTCATTTTAACAATTGGGTGTCTTCCCTCCAACAAACCAAAAACCAGTGTCTCGGCAGGAAGGCTGCATAAACCAGAAAATAACAAGGAAAAAACTTATATGCACTCTCTTGTTCTTAATACTGTTAGAATTTTTAATCATGAGTGTCATCCCTAATTCTATTAAGTGATTATCTGGAAAACAAACTAAAACAATGCCATGTCAGAAAGGACAGACCGACGGTGACAAACACTATAGTCCCCCAGCAGGGGACTAATAAGGACAGACCGACGGTGACAAACACTATAGTCCCCCAGCAGGGGACTAATAAGGACAGACCGACGGTGACAAACACTATAGTCCCCCAGCAGGGGACTAATAAGGACAGACCGACGGTGACAAACACTATAGTCCCCCAGCAGGGGACTAATAAGGACAGACCGACGGTGACAAACACTAAAGTCCCCCAGCAGGGGACTAATAAGGACAGACCGACGGTGACAAACACTATAGTCCCCCAGCAGGGGACTAATAAGGACAGACCGACGGTGACAAACACTATAGTCCCCCAGCAGGGGACTAATAAGGACAGACCGACGGTGACAAACACTATAGTCCCCCTGCAGTGGACTAATAACCAAACACAACAAAGATTCCATCTATATCACTTCACCTTAAAACATGTTTAAAAGGAATCTATCCTGTTAAATGTCACTGCAATATCTTAACTTGGAAGTTCATCAACGACTTTTCCTCAGTTACTATCAATATATCATCAAGGATATTATGACATATGCTTGTCTATGATATATTCATCACTGGAAAGTATCTGATGATTTAGCCAGAGGATTCAGAATACATATGTAGCATAAAATTTTGCAGAACATGTACAAATTATCATAAGCCTTGAACATTTAAGAACTGAATTATTTTCTTATAACGAATCAGTTTGGGCACAGGAGGACTCAGAATTCTAAGAAATGTCTAAGCTATATGTGTCAAACAGACATGAATGTCCCATCTGGCAACTGTGGAGAATTACAAAACTTTTTAATGTTATTGGCTTTATCAACATGTTTACTGAAGACTCATAAACCTAACTGAAATCCTATCTGCTGAACCAATGGTAAGAAGTCTGAAATTTCTGTCTGATGAACTTTATATGTAATTCCCATTGGAGTTTGGTGAGGCTCAGGAATATCAGTCAAAGGAGTTCTAGTGAAAATTTAGATTTGAATTTTTTGAGCTAAATGGCTCTAATAGCTAGAAGTAATTTGACCATACCCAAAGCAGAATCTTTCCTCAGTCACTATCAATATATCATCAAGGATATTATGACATATGCTTGTCTATGATATATTCATCACTGGAAAGTTCTCATTTTTCAATTATCAGGTCTGATTCTTAAATAGAAGCATTCAGATTCAGAATAAAAATTTGAAAAAATAAAATGTAAAACTTTAAAAAAAAAAAAAAAAAAAAAAATCCAGAGCTTTGTAGTGATACTACTACTTCAGAATCTGACCAGAATTACCAAATTATATTTCATTTACAGAGAAAATGAGCCAAAAAAAAAATCTCAATGCCAAAATAATGGACAAGCCTAACATTGTATGCCCCAAACCATGATTCATCATAAACTTTCTAAATATTTAAACACTACACCTTTCCCCTTCTGTTAATAAATTTACTTAAACCTAGAATAACAATGTAGTATAAAGATACTAAAGCATTATGGTAAGGAAATGGTGTTTTTCTTTGACGGACAAGTTTTAATCAATATATCATCAAGAATATTGTGACAAATGCAAGTCTATGAAATGGGAGAAGGCATTTCTAAGTTGTGATAATTTGTGCCTGATCCCATTTGTTATATTGAACAAATAAAATATGTATAAATCAAGTCTATGAAACATTCATCACTAGAAAGTTTCTGGGGTTTGACTTGTGGGATTCAAATAGAGAAAAATATGAAACTTTAAAGAATTTCAGAACTTCTTAAATGTACTGAAGTACTCATAACCATGATTTGATATATTCAAATTGCAGAATGGTAACAAGCTTCCTGAAGTAAAATCTGTTTCAAGCATTATAAAAAAACTGCTTATTTTCACAGATTTAAAGCTGAATTTCATCTTTCCTCAGTTGCTATCAATATATCATCAAGAATGTTATGACATATGCTTGTCTATGATATATTCATCAGTGGAAAAATTTCATATTCCAATATTCAGGTGCAATTTGAAAAAAACTTGAAAAAAATGTGAAATTGTAAAAAAAACAACAAAAAAAACCCAGAACTTCTTAGTGACACTACTTTTCTCCAATAAATGTATTGATGTATTTATAACAACAAGAACGGTTATCTTGAGGATAATTATTACCACTGCAGATTCATTTGGTCCCTTACATTGAGAAGAGATTTTGAAGTTTCATGGAAATCTGGATTAGGAGGAGTTCTCTGGACAATATTTGCATAGGCATTAAAATTGTAGAGTGGCAGCGAGCTTCCTTTAAGATAATGATGCAAGTATCAAATCAAAGTTTACTTTAGTGGATGTCATTCAAAATTTCATCTTTCCTCAGTCGTTATCAATATATCATCAAGGATATTATGACATATGCTTGTCTATGATACATTCATCACTGGAAAGAAGAAGGTGCTAATTTAAGGTTTTACTCCAGATAAAACACATCCTCTCATCAAGTTTGGACAGTAGGGAGAAATGGAAGGAACAGACTGTGTTGGCTTGGAATTGAAGAAACAACCCCCATGACTTTTACTGCTAACTACTTCAGGGTATGAGTGCAGAAAATGACTTTCACTGACAATATATATTCTTTGTAGAGTTTTAGGATGGGGGACTTTCATTGGCAATATTATCTTTGCAGAGTTTGACTGCGAAGAAAAACTTACTTTTGCAAAATGTATGAAACAAGCCGAGTGTGGTATTTACTGAAGAAAGATACAAGCAATATGACTGCAGAGATTGACATGGGACTTATTTTAACAAGACATACTAACTTATATTAAAGTAAATAATGTTTGTCTTTCCTCAGTCACTATCAATATATCATCAAGGATATTATGACATATGCTTGTCTATGATATATTCATCACTGGAAAGGAGATAGGTGCTCACCGTGGGACTTCTTTACAGAACTGGTATTGGCTATAACAAGACTCCTTCCTCCTTTGTTTTCAGTGTTGAAACAATTCAATTTGATGGACTCGTGCTTTGTGAGTTTGAAGAATTGAAAGATGACTAATTTTCTTAATAGGGTTGTCGTGAAAAGAATGACTTACTTTGGTGAAACATAATCCCGATTGGCTGTGAGGAATTCCTGTCCACTACTCAACACCTGTACCAAGAGGTCAGTCAGGTAGACTTTCTCCACCGTCTCAGCACACGGCATCCTCGCCTCCTACAACAACAACACCTTTCTACTGTATGGATAGCAACACAACTATGTGGTATTGAAAGTACAAAGAAAATTTGTTTTAAACCTATAGATACATGGATGACTTTGTAATATCATGACAGACCAGGGTGAAATGTTTATAAACCTATAGATACATGGATGACTTTGTAATACCATGACAGACCAGGGTGAAATGTTTATAAACCTATAGATACATGGATGACTTGTAATATCATGACAGACCAGGGTGAAATGTTTATAAACCTATATATACATGGATGACTTTGTAATATCATGACAGATCAGGGTGAAATGTTTATAAACCTATAGATACATGAGTGACTTTGTAATATCATGACAGATCAGGGTGAAATGTTTATAAACCTATAGATACATGAGTGACTTTGTAATATCATGACAGACCAGGGTGAAATGTTTATAAACCTATAGATACATGAGTGACTTTGTAATATCATGACAGACCAGGGTGAAATGTTTATAAACCTATAAATACAAGGATGACTTTGTAATACAGACAGTTCAGGACAAAATTGTTGTACTTTTAGCATTTTGGTTTTAACACACATCAAGCTTCCATTTTGGTCAACAAGAGTGATTTAGACAAGATGACCTTGCATTTTTTTTATAATTGTTGCATAATATACCAAATCAATAAATAATTTAAGATACAGCTATCACATATATCATACCTCAAACAGCAGGCTAAATAAATGAAGTCGTGTTGCAAACTTGCAAGAGTCAGGATGGAAAGCCTTCTTGTCATTAGGACTAGACTCTTCAGGAGGACAGATATGACCTACAGTGAGTAACTTCTGACCCAAGGACTGAACCTGAATTGAAACAGAAAAATATCTTACAATAAATCACTTAACTTTAAATAAAAAAAACATAGGGATTTTAAATTTTTCAAAACTTTATCATGTATTTTTTTCTTTTGTTTTTTTCTTAGATACTTACAACTTGCTGTAATATAAATATCTGACTGTTTTTTATCAGCGCTCAAATCTAGCAATTGCTAGCAACCAAGCTTTGATATCTCAACTGGCGAAAATGAAACTCCAAAGACAGGAATTAAATACTGAAGATTATGATAGACCTTCACGTAGGAAAGCAAACCAGAGTATTTTAATGTTATGTTGATGTGCAAAGCATCAATACATTCCAATAAGATACATCATCAAAATAAAATATCAAGCCAAATAATAAATGCAGACATTTTTTTCACACTTGCTGAAATTAAAGCTCTGACCTCCTGTTAATATAACATTTCTAAAGAGTTCATTTCAAGATTTTCATCAGCTTTCATTTGACAAGACAAAGCAAATCTGTTCAAGTGGTCTCCAGCTTCTCTGCGTTCCACTGAAGACGTAATTGTGTATGACATCACTTTAATGGAAAATTAATGTGTTTAACTGTGTTGGACTTACTTCCTGTACAAGTGAGGCCAGGGCTCGTTTCTGCCACTCCAGTCCATTCCTCTGTGTGACTACAATAAGTAGGTCACAAACACGATACACTGTCTCAGGGAGTGTGTCCAGCAATGCCAGACAACCTGAAAAAAAACATTATTTCACACATTAAAAAAATAAAATATCTATATTTCATCTTCACCTAAATCCTGTCTGTTAATATCTGCATGGTGATTTGATCCAGAAATGTTAGTGTTAGAGTAGTACTTAGTTCACTATGAAACAAGCCATGAAACCTTTTTTCATTTTACGGCTGTATTTTTGGCTTTCCTCAGTCACTATCAATATATCATCAAGGATATTATGACATATGCTTGTCTATGATATATTCATCACTGGAAAGTTTTCATATTTCAATTATCAATTCGATTCTTAAAAGTAAGGATTCAGATTCAGTGTAAAAATTTGAATATAAATGTTACAATTTCTGAAGCTTTTAGATATAAAGTAACTATTTCTATTAAATGTATTGTTGTATTTGTGAGAATCACTTTCAATATATTAAAATTGTAGAAAGGTAACAAGCTTTCTCTTGTAAAATCCATTTCAAACATTATCAAAACAAAGCTCATTTTCATAGATTTTGGGCCAAACTTGAAGTTTATTATCAACTTTTCCTCAGTCACTATCAATATATCATCAAGGATATTATGACATATGCTTGTCTATGATATACTCATCACTGGAAAGTTCTCATACTTCACTAATTTGATTCTCTGTTCAACTTAATATAACATGTTTATCTGATTAAAATTCAAAATAATAATTTCCAAACCAAGTTCTGTATCTTAATTCATATCAACATTCCCAAAAGGTTTTAAATATAGCTCCCTGTGATTTAAATGGGTTCTTGCATAACTAGCAAATATAAACATTCACTAAAAAGCATTCAGTCTAGTATTATAAAAGTTTAAACGATTGTTATTGTTGCTGAGATCTTTTTGGAGGTAATTAAGTTAACTAAACCACAAAACATGTCAATAAAAACTTCATAATTAAGACTGTGTAGTTCATCTTTCCTCAGTCACTATCAATATATCATCAAGGATGTTATGACATATGCTTGTCTATGATATATTCATCACTGGAAAGTTTGCTGGTTGATATGAAAGTTTGTGGTATATATTCTGCAGAAATTGATCTATGGCGAAAGAGGCCATCAACAGAGATAATCTGTTAAGACTATAACACAAACACCAATTTCCTATTTATAGTAACAATAATCTGACTTTGACCTTGAGATCTTTATGCAATACCAAACATGCACTGTTTAAATGATGGGTCCAAAGGGACTTAGAAATCTTTGCTGACCAATAGATATGAAATAAAATGTCAATTGTTTAGGCAACAAGAAAATGTTTGACAACCAAAATTCTTTCAACACAGTATTTTTTCCCATGACTTTTTTTACAGAGTTAAATGGCAAAGATATCTTCCAAGTACAAATAATTGGGAGTGCCTATTTCAAACAGATCTATTTTTTTCATTTGAAGTTTCAAAACAGTGTTTCATTTTAACTAATTTTAGGGACCACTGATGTTTGTCTTTCCTCAGTCACTATCAATATATCATCAAGGATGTTATGACATATGCTTGTCTATGATATATTCATCACTGGAAAGTTTGCTGGTTGATATGAAAGTTTGTGGTATATATTCTGCAGAAATTGATCTATGGCAAAAGAGGCCATCAACAGAGATAATCTGTTAAGACTATAACACAAACACCAATTTCCTATTTATAGTAACAATAATCTGACTTTGACCTCGAGATCTTTAAGCAATACCAAACATGCACTGTTTAAATGATGGGTCCAAAGGGACTTAGAAATCTTTGCTGACCAATAGATATGAAATAAAATGTCAATTGTTTAGGCAACAAGAAAATGTTTGACAACCAAAATTCTTTCAACACAGTATTTTTTCCCATGACTTTTTTACAGAGTTAAATGGCAAAGATATCTTCCAAGTACAAATAATTAGGAGTGCCTATTTCAAACAGATCTATTTTTTTTCATTTGAAGTTTCAAAACAGTGTTTACTAAGGGACCACTGATGTTTGTCTTTCCTCAGTCACTATCAATATATCATCAAGAATTTTAGGGACTACTGATGTTTGTCTTTCCTCAGTCACTATCAATATATCATCAAGGATGTTATGACATATGCTTGTCTATGATATATTCATCACTGGAAAGTTTGCTGGTTGATATGAAAGTTTGTGGTACATATTCTGCAGAAATTGATCTATGGCAAAAGAGGCCATCAACAGAGATAATCTGTTAAGACTATAACACAAACACCAATTTCCTATTTATAGTAACAATAATCTGACTTTGACCTCGAGATCTTTAAGCAATACCAAACATGCACTGTTTAAATGATGGGTCCAAAGGGACTTAGAAATCTTTGCTGACCAATAGATATGAAATAAAATGTCAATTGTTTAGGCAACAAGAAAATGTTTGACAACCAAAATTCTTTCAACACAGTATTTTTTCCCATGACTTTTCTACAGAGTTAAATGGCAAAGATATCTTTTTCCCATGACTTTTCTACAGAGTTAAATGGCAAAGATATCTTCCAAGTACAAATAATTGGGAGTGCCTATTTCAAACAGATCTATTTTTTTCATTTGAAGTTTCAAAACAGTGTTTCATTTTAACTAATTTTAGGGACTACTGATGTTTGTCTTTCCTCAGTCACTATCAATATATCATCAAGAATATTATGACATATGCTTGTCTATGATATATTCATCACTGGAAAGTCTATAACGGAAAGGGTAATGATTCAAACAAGACAATTAAGCAAATTATAGTTTCCCTTCAACACACCATCTCATCAAGGTAAACCCATACCCTACGTATAAAGTTCGAAAGACAAATAGTGTTGTAGGTAGAGCCGTCACAATCTTTTTCTTTGATGCAAATGTAAATCACCAAGGTGACCTCATATCTCAGGTTCCAGTGACAAGAAGTATAGGAATTAGAGCCAAGACAAGAAAGATAGAACTATACACCCCCCCCCCCCAACCACTTCCCAGTTGCAGCAATAATAATCTGAATGGAGTTGTCATAATTGTACACTCCTATCTCAAGGAATTGTATCTGAATACCCTTAAATGGAACTTTAACAGCAAAGGTAATATATAAGTACAACATAAATATTCACAGAACTGAGTTGATCTGAATATCAAATATCAAATCCATGTACTCCAAACCCTTCAGGTTTGATGACTCCAAAGTGCAAAGCCTTCCTCAGTAATTATCAATACATCATCAAGGACATTATCACATATGCTTGTCTATGATATAATAATCCTTGGACGGTTTCAGCGATTATTTGGAAAGATCAGAAAATCTCTTGTTTCCAAGCAGAAAAGGGTAATAGATTTTTTAGTTTAATTCTAAACTGTTATTTAAATGCATACATCACCAATTATTTACATAAATCATCACTGGAGTGACAGCACAGCACAGATGAAAACTGTCTTGGCAGACCCAAGTATACTGTGTGTTAGCTCATCCCAGAGATGTTGCACAACTATGACCATGTACCCACCAGACAAGGCCCAAGACCCACTATGCTGGGATAAGGGCCACACCCTTACCCCTTCATGTCTACTGAACATAGATTTCTTCACTGAAAACAGATGACAAACCTATAGCCAACCATCATTAAACACAATACGTTGTCTTACCCGGCATCACTGTGTCAGTGAACTGATCAATTGTCGTTCGATCAAGTGGCTCCTCTTTCTCCTGCTTTTCATCAATTTCTGGCTCCTCTGGCTTGGGTGGCTCCTGTTTGGGTGATGAACAAGTTGGTCCGCCCTACAACACCAACATGTTTAATTATAATCTCTTTATACCCTAGCAGTGCAGTTCCTTACATATGGACTTTACTATACATCTTTCAAATACTCCATATATAATAACATATTTTCACATATAACAATATATTTCCAAAGAGCATATAAAGATTTTTTTTTGCATGTTGGGGTTGTATTAATTTTTAAGAAGGACTACTATTTGTGTGAAAATGTTCAATACAGAATTTTCAAAGTTTTAAATAAATAGCCCTAACTATTTCACTGGAATAGCTCTTACTATATCTTAAGTTTCCTAACTTTTTATATATAAGGCTAGCTACCTCATCAGTAGACATGAGCACGTTATCTCCTAGGGACATGGCTATAGCTCGCATCATTTGGTCCTCTTCAGACATCTCAAGAACCATACCAAGGGGCTGATAACAAGTGTAACAAAAGGTGTAGTTGAATTCTCCATAATAACAGGCAACAACGTGACACATTAAATTTACTGTGTGACACATTAAATTCACTGCTTATAGCTTCTAATAATAAACATATGATGTCAAATGTTCCTCACTTTATACACATGTAACTGTATGCTTAGTTTGTTCATTCACCTATCATTCTTTACTGCAGTACTAACCAGTGAGGAACTGCCGGAAAAGACAATTAGTCAAACTAACAGAACCAAAAATAAAAGTAAATAACCTCTTCAACACTTCTTTACTTTTCAAAAAGAATTTATTTGAATGTAAAATGGTAATGATATTAGCAAAGATTTAAATCATTATGGCAGTAGTGAGTTTCACTTTCAAATTTTCTGGTCATTTAAGAATTCAGTCAATGTTCAGGTTTTCAGCCAACTTCATCTTTCCTCAGTTGCTATCAATATATCATCAAGGACATTATGACATATGCTTGTCTATGATATATTCATCACTGGAAAGTTGGAATACTTCATTTTTATCATATATTAACATATATACCTTAGAACAAAGATGGTGCGAGACTATTTCATTTTTCTTTGCATCCATCAATAGCAATGAGAATGTAACGTGTGTAGCAACCCCAGAACACCATTTGCAAAAACATTCACTGCTTACATGTGATGTGTTTGATAACTTCAGTAAGGACCAGGGGGATTCGATAAGCTAGTACATGAATCAACAAAAGTGTCTGTTTTCTATACTGAACGCTTGAAATCTGGTAGATTCTGGCAATGTGCTAAATGAAAATATTATGATGAATATGTCTGGATGATTATAGGACTGAAGAATTCTGTTGGTGTGACTGGAGAGCTAGACATCATCATATACTACCAAATGGGAGCAAAATTGGTTGCAGTGTTTCGGCATATGCAACAGCACAACATGGAACATACCAATCAAATTAAATGATTGAAAATCCAACTTCTTCACCAATAACATATTGCAAGGTTAAGATGAGTTAAGTTATGCATGTAAATATGATATCAAAACTAGCTATGACAACCTATCTGTCTGTATCATTACTTACATTAGCAGCTGAAGTCCTGGGGGCAGGGACCAGTGGGTGAGTCAGGATGTACTCTGTGGCCTGTTCTATACTGGTAGTATGGTTGAGAGCCTGCGTGGCATGTTCTCTGGTAAAACCCATATCCATCAACTGTTCACAAAGAGATAAATAGCATTTAATTACCAACAAGACAAGCGGGCCTACATATATATGACTCAAAGAGGAGGCAGGCTTAATACAGAAAAATGACATAGCTGGCACTTATACTGCTTACAGATATGGGTGGTCTTTTTCTAACCAACATGTGATTATTGTGAGATAAATATGGAATTTTAATTACAATACTTCTTGTATTTCTTAAGATCAAATTAAAACTTCAAAATCTTAAGCAGGGCAGCCATTGGAAGTAGAGAGAGCTTGTTCTGAAATAAGACTTTGTTGCAAACCTGCTGTAGATGTGCTTGATCAACTTCAGGGATGCTAGGTCGCTGTACAGCAGCAGGGGCAGCAGCAGCAGCTGCAGCAGGATTCAGAATACTGATACTGCTTGCCGTCCCTGATGTACCCGGTGTCTCCTCCTTCTCTCTAGCCAAGTAATCCTGTGATGATATCAATCAGAATAGAATCAAAACACAAATTTAAACCCACAAGTAGTTCACAAGTTCACTCAAGAATAATATTTAATCCATATAATTTTCCACTTAATAAAACTTGCATACAATAAATGTATAAGAATAGTCATTATTGTAACATCTTTGTAGCGTTAGTAACAAGTCAGAACTAATTTGTTTGACAACGATGTCTATTGTAACACAAATTGTAGCTGGTGTACTATTAGATATGTTTACTTTTAAGACCAGTCTAACACCATCCAGTATAAATCTGTATGTACCTTTATGATGGTCTCCCCCTTGATGATATGACACAATATTGCCAGGATGGATTCTGACATGCGACCACCATACAGCTTCAAAGGTTTCTTGTTCCACAGGTGCATCACTGCATTAAAAGCAGCCTGAAACATCCAACAGATGTACAAGACAATCAGCAGGTGAAAAGGACAATTAACAGGTTTACAAGACAATCAGCAGGTGAAAAGGACAATTAACAGGTTTACAAGACAATCAGCAGGTGAAAAGGACAATTAACAGATGTACAAGACAATCAGCAGGTGAAAAGGACAATTAACAGATTTACAAGACAATCAGCAGGTGAAAAGGACAATTAACAGATGTACAAGACAATCACCAGGTGAAAAGGACAATTAACAGATGTACAAGACAATCACCAGGTGAAAAGGACAATTAACAGGTTTACAAGACAATCAGCAGGTGAAAAGGACAATTAACAGATGTACAAGACAATCACCAGGTGAAAAGGACAATTAACAGATGTACAAGACAATCAGCAGGTGAAAAGGACAATTAACAGGTTTACAAGACAATCAGCAGGTGAAAAGGACAATTAACAGATGTACAAGACAATCACCAGGTGAAAAGGACAATTAACAGATGTACAAGACAATCAGCAGGTGAAAAGGACAATTAACAGATGTACAAGACAATCACCAGGTGAAAAGGACAATTAACAGATGTACAAGACAATCACCAGGTGAAAAGGACAATTAACAGGTTTACAAGACAATCAGCAGGTGAAAAGGACAATTAACAGATGTACAAGACAATCACCAGGTGAAAAGGACAATTAACAGGTTTACAAGACAATCAGCAGGTGAAAAGGACAATTAACAGATGTACAAGACAATCACCAGGTGAAAAGGACAATTAACAGATGTACAAGACAATCACCAGGTGAAAAGGACAATTAACAGATGTACAAGACAATCACCAGGTGAAAAGGACAATTAACAGGTTTACAAGACAATCAGCAGGTGAAAAGGACAATTAACAGATGTACAAGACAATCAGCAGGTGAAAAGGACAATTAACAGATGTACAAGACAATCACCAGGTGAAAAGGACAGGTGAAAAGGAAAAGGACAATTAACAGATGTACAAGACAATCACCAGGTGAAAAGGACAATTAACAGGTTTACAAGACAATCAGCAGGTGAAAAGGACAATTAACAGATGTACAAGACAATCACCAGGTGAAAAGGACAATTAACAGATGTACAAGACAATCAGCAGGTGAAAAGGACAATTAACAGGTTTACAAGACAATCAGCAGGTGAAAAGGACAATTAACAGATGTACAAGACAATCAGCAGGTGAAAAGGACAATTAACAGGTTCACAAGACAATCACCAGGTGTGGTTTGAAATCATCGCTGGTTCTACATTGACAGTATACAATACATGCTGGGAATTAGATATTTACCTTCTGTGTGCTGATAAGGTACTGGACTGGACTGAAGGGCACAAAACCTGCCTGACTAGACTTCTCTGGTAGAGTATGTGTTGACTCCAGCACTGTTTTAGGATTTACCATTTTCTCCACTAACATCAGCCATGCATCAATGAACTCACCAGTACCATCTGAAACATAGTGACACTATTAGCTGTAAAGCTCATTTCTCATTTCATATATTTGAAACACTTCCTAACTTCTCCCCTCCCCTAAGAATTATTTTCACCATTTGTCCAAGTTCATGTTCTGTGTTTTATCAAAATCCAATTTATATACTGATCAGTTGCCCTTTATTTATGTGATTATCAATACTTACCAGGTAGTTCTGGAAACTCCAAACCATCAGCCATTTGTACTTTCCCATCAATGGACAATGCCCAGGAGAAGGCTCTGTAATACAACAAGAAATGTACATAACTGAAATACAGAGCAGAAATTGAAAAATTCCAAGAAATTGATATTGTTCCTAAATGGCGTTAAGATTATCAAAGAGCTATGAAACTGTTCCTTCATAGACCCCAACATTGATACAAATATGTATAAATGTCCCAGGTCATAGGGATACAATGCTTAGCAGGACCCACTGTTGTTTTTAGTGTTTGTCTTTTTAAAATTTTTGGAGGGATTTTTTTGTTTCATAGCATACTGTAATAATGTTAAAATCCAAAAACATACAGAGTAGAGTTTTTTTATTTTCATTTCTGTAAAGAACTTTAACCTCGACTACTATTGGTATATAAACACTCTGGGGAAAAAAAAGTTCCCAGCTTAGATATGAACTCCCTTGCTGTTTGGAACTCATCTTTAACAATGGCCATCATCAATTTGGATAGGAGATTTCTAACAGTTCTCTGATTAAAATATTTTGGCAGGTGACTAAATTTTACAAACATTAACACACACTGAAACACTCAGAAACACCATTCACACATTTTTTCCCCTCACTATCTGAAGTTACCCCCGCAGTAAAATTCTGAAACTGGAAATGAACCAAAGCTCATACAGGAAAGATTTTCTACAGGAATAGCACCAATCATATCAAAAAGCCTGTGACCAATACTAACTCAAATAATGCCTTCTGTCCTCCTGATGAGACAAACTTCTGTAGCATCAGATGATAGGGCTGTTTCTTCTCATCAAACAACATTGGGGATGTAAAGCCCACAGAACACACAAGAAATGTTAACCTGAAATAACAACATTATTATCTCATCAAATTGTTTGGAATGGAATTTACTTAAATTATTGTAACACTTTTGTAGGGTTTCTCTGAAAGATTTCAATGGATCAGTAGAGTTTCTCTGTAAGATTTTAATGGATTCATCTTTATTGTAAGAATTTTATCCATATTCATACCATTACAAAGGTGTTTTATAAGTATTAGGTGTTTTCTAGCTATTTCTGATGGGACATTTATCCGTGTTAGCATTTTTAGGTGGAATTTTTACAAGAATATTGACAAAGGAAGTATCAGGTGTGATTTTTCTTCAAGACTGAACACCAAATGCATTAATAATGAGGTCTTACCTAAGTTTGGGTACTGGGGAATATTCAGGTGGAGTCCACTGAAGGCCATTGGTTAGAAGTCTGGTGAGTGCTCGGGCTACTGCCTGGGCAGCAGGGGAAGGTGTAGTTGGCGGAGGTGGGATCTGGTGACTTCGCCTCTGTCGCACTGGGCTACCAACACAGAGTTTCACCAGGAGGCCAAACAGCTCAGCAAGAGCACGACATAGACGTGAAGACACCGACAAAAGTGGCTTCAACTGTTTCACCTGTGCCTGCAGTGCTGTTGAAATTTTTGGGCGTTTACTGTCCTTATCTGAAGATGTCGCCTGTGATTGCATGTCACTAACGTCCATAGGAGTCTCTGTGCTCTCCGACGTGGAGAGAGATTCCATGGCAGCACTAACACCATTACTTCCAAGTTCACCAGCACTATGTGTTAGAGTTGTACTCTCTTCTTTGATGTCCTTGTCTGATTTGAAATCCTTAGGGAGTAGTTTCTCCATGTCTGCCTTACCAAACTCACAGCTGGCAGGCAGCACATCATCATTACATAGAGCTAGCAGCACAGTGCTTTCCCACACCAATGATGTGTACAGCTTGCTAAGACCTTCCAACACTTTTAAACCCAGGTCAGAACCCCAGTGATTCACAGAGATTGTACGTATGTCCGTCTGCAAACAAATGGACTCTATGAGTACAAGTTCTTAAGCGTACATGAAGTACAGGGATAATTCCATGAGAAAATGTAAACAGCTACAATTACTTTGTGAGATTACTTTTAAAATACTGTACAAAGCATCTATCTGTAAAGCAAGTATGATGCATAGTCACATCAAACCATTTTTACTCCAAGCTTAATGTTATAAGAGTCCTGAGAGATGACAACTAGATAATTGTAATCTTTAAATCAAGACCGATTTCTTCATTTTGCACTCATTTTTTTCATAGAGAAAATCAATTTGTTTCTCAATGATCGTTTCAGAGTGCACTTGCTGTACTCTAATTATATTCAACATATTTAAATAACCAAATCAACTTTCTACAAAAAATCTAAATTGTCAGAAGACAGAATGCAGTGATAGTTTACCTGTCCCATCCGGCAGACATGTACAAACATCAAGATGTAAGCATGGCAAGAGGACAGGGCATGCAAGAGAGGTGTGTTCTGGGGTAACTGGGCAGCATCTGGTATGTGAGCCACGTTTGCCAGTTCGCGCAGGAGAACAGACCCTCCAGGTGCTTCAAGAGGCTGGTGAAGGGTCTCCAGACTCTGTAACACCTCGTCCAACTTCAACAGGCCCTGTTTCAGAACCTGGGGTTCCCGCGACAAATTCTGTACAAACACACAACCAAGTTTTACTTCTCAGAAACTATAGTTTATAGAGAGAAATTATTACCTGTATTTATTTGATGGTAAAACAAAACAGATGAAAAGGAAATTTTTTCATAAGTTGTAATTTCTAATAATTTAGATACAAACTTTCTCATCAATATCTTTAAGTTCCTATCCTAAAATTAACAACCATCACAATAATATTTTAACAACAGTATTATGTATTCTATTACAATTGAAATATCAAGAATAAAACCCAATTTACTGGCTGCTTGTAATAATGTTTCCAATTTTCAGTTTTGTATTGCAATATTGCACATCACCCAAGAAATATCCCAACTCAACAATGTACTTACTAGTATTGATTTGCACACAATGGAAACAGCTTGACATGCTGGTGATGTGGGAAAGTCAATTGGAAGATTAGGCAGGCCAAGAATAGACATGAGAGGTTGGAGTCCTTTCTGGGCGACAAACTCACGGCAATGGTCATCTGTCGAGTTGTTGCTTAGTATGGCTTCGACAAACTTCATCTGAGGAACAACCACCAATGATTTCAAAAATATATTCTTCAAGAACTCTTTCCAATCTATTCAATATCTTGAAATCAAGGAAAACCAATGAATTCCTACCTATACCCCTGTCATTTTATACAGTGTTACATGTCTGTCATGTCTCGTTCTGAATCAATGTTAAGAATCTCTCAATAGTTTGTGTATCATATATGCCACATTTCATCATCTAGTCTATGCCTTATATTCTTCTTTACATAGGAGTTGTCTTATAAACATTTTGTTCCAATCAAGATTATAAACTCCAGAGTGAAGCGATAATTTGTTTTTAATGTTTTAAGGTAAGTTCTTAAATCGTGTATACAATTTCTATTGCTCAAAAAACAACTGGACTGTGAGCATTTGAAGAACATAATCACTTACCACATTCAACACATAGTCCATCAGAGGAATAGCTTGCTTTTCTTGTGAAGTAGATGTCATCCTTCAATAAACAATGTCATAGGTTTATACCCTTTCCCACAGAAAAGTGCATTATTACTTAACACAAATAATATTAATATTATTCACAGGTAATAATGTAATCACTGTAGTAGCTACTTTACCAAGAGTGCTGATCACAACAGATCAACATCCAACGATGCTTATCACTACATTTATGTAGCACTGATTAACGACCGGAGATGTCACAACAGTACACCACCGGAGATACACAGTGCTAGTTACAAGTAACAATTGTGACCTTCTAAGGACTAGTCTAAATCTGATGTATAGGGCCAGACTCAAATAACAAGTTTTCCTTAAACCCGTCTTCTGTCTACTTAGTTAAAATAACATTATATGAAACTATGTTGAAAGAGGTTTGTACTATATCAACTCACTGCTGACTGGTATCTGCAGGAGTCTCAGGTGGTGTAGGAGGTTTGTTAGCAGCAGAAGCAGAGTCCTGGGTGTTAGCAAGTTCTTCCTCCTCATCCTCCTCATCAGAAGATCCATTGTCAGGAGGCTGGGGTGAGCGGATTGAGACTATATTCGGCTCAGATTTTGGCTGGGACTTTTGACAAACACACTTAGGATCCATTCCCATGGCACAGATTTCTTCTAGTAACTGTCAACGAAATGATAAAATATTTTCAAAACTTACCTCCACTTGATTTATAAATATATATGTTATAGCTTCCATTCAAGAAACATGTGAAGTTGATCGAGTTATGACAGGACCATGTGCCAAAAAGAAAATGGGATATTTTCTTACCAAAACTAATTACTTTACATAGTTTGTGATGGTTTCAAGGAAACTTAAATATAAATATGTCTCCCAAACCACTGTCACTGGTTAATTTCCTACACACAGTATATCTTATTTTCTTCTTTTTACTTTCTAAAACTGAAAATGCTTGTAGTAGCTACTTCACCAAGAGTGTTGATCACAACAGATCAACATCCAACGATGCTTAACACTACATTTATGTAGCACTGATTAACGACCGGAGATGTCACAACAGTACACCACCGGAGATACACAGTGCTTTTTAATTAAAATATGAGCAAGACAAACTCATCACAGAGTTATCTGTATTATGCACATAATCACTTTAGCATTTCTAGAGTCTTTTTATTTGAAAGGAACATCATTGAAAAGCAACTACTTTAGAAACCTCCTGAGGCTCACTGAGAGGTCTATCAATAATTCTTAGTCATCCAACCTACCTTAATGATGGCTTTGGTGGCATCAGTCCTTAATGACGGCTGATGCCTCATCAGTTCATCCATTGCATTTCCAAGGTTACTGGCTGTGTCACCTGTAAGATCACAATCAAATTTAGCTCAGATACATTTACAAATTGTTCAGAGATGTTACAGAAAATGCCTTGCTGTTTGAATGCTAAAGCAAATACTTCGGTTTTTGAAAATGTGAGCTTATTGTAAGGAACAGTATATTTTGCAGCTTAACACTGAAGAAATAAGCACCTGGGGTAAGTTATCGTAGGAATAAGCTGTATCATTGAAAGAATGTTGAACTTTCTGAATGACATCACAATGACCTTAATCCTGACATACTGACAGTGATCTCTCCCAAGAGACAGAATGAGGGACACTTACCAAAGGGGTCAGAGCTACGTCTCCGTCGCATTGCAGGGAGATAATCAGGTGAGAGCAACACTTTGAATAATCTGTCAAATGGTTTACAGTTGACAAATGCCTCTAAGCCTCGTGTGTTCAAACATAGGGCACTGAACACATTGGGTAGGGAAGCCAATACCTCTCGCGTTGCTGGCACCTGTCAACATAATCAAACTTTCAACTCTCTCTGACAAAATTTGTAACAAGCTAAACATGCTGTGGATTTATATCCTGATTTTTAACAATATTATACAGTTCACCTTGATGTCAGCCACATAAAATTTCACCTTGTTGTATACATAAAAAAAACTCACAATGTAGAGAGTCTACTCACATCTTTGATAAGTAAAGCATGGAGCACAACATCAGTAAGTCCACTGTCCTGTAGGGAGGACAGAAGGGATGGCTCCTGGAACACATACACTGTCACAACGTCCGTGGCTGTAACATAAGTCAAACTGAAGATCAGATAACTAGCAGCAACCAGTTTTTAATCTAATTTCAACCGCTTTTCATTTCATATACAACTAGACTGACCACGAATCTCCAACGAAATAAATTAGCAGTAATCTAAACAACTTCATATATCAAAGATAATCAGAATTGGCTGAACAAAGGCATGCAAGGCCTAATCAATTTTTTTTAGTTCTTTATAAAGGAAAACAATTGGGGTTTGTATTATGTTGAATTTTTTCAAATAAGCAAAATAAAACAAAAAATTATCTATGGGAATGAAAATCAAGACTGTAATGAATATGGTAGAGCAATCCCGTATACAGTGGTTGATCCCTTTACCTAGGGAACTAAGAACCAGGAAATTAATTGTCACAGGTAAAGAAAACTAAAGGTGTCCTTACCAAGGAGGAACAGGGATGGTCCATAGTATTCGGCATTGCTGATGATGTGCTGTAGGGATTTTGGCAGGGAACCTTCCATTACTGGCAGAGAAACAGACAAATGACTAAGATAGATTGTCAACAGACAAAAAAGAGACAGGAGCATTTAACCTCCTATGGCTCATACTGAGCAAATGCTTTCAACTCCACAAATATTGATAACCTTGCTTGAAATTGGTCACAGTTTAAGTAAAATCATACAAAGACATAATTGTTATCACATACAAAGTAATAAAATTGTGATCAGTCAGAGCCAAAAGTTAAGAAATTTATATTTTTTACCCAAAATTCCGGGATGATCATGGTGAAATACACAAAATTTCAATACTGTTGATATTACACATGATTTCTGAGGGTGAGGTCATTGCTAAGAATCACATTTTTGAATAGTATTCTCATAACCATTATCTGTCAGAGTGTTACACTTCTACTTACAATGTCGAATACTTTCAGAAAATGAAGAATCTGGGATTGCCTTCTTCAGAAAATTTAACATGGACTTCAGCAGAGCAGCTCTTTGAGGGAAGCACTGGACTCCTGTGTAATCAAACAAAACTAATTCAATTTCTGATGAATTCAACATCAAATGCATCTTACATCTGGTAACAAATGAAAATAGGAATTGTGTTGAAATGACTGCATTACTAATCAATCCAATAAACCTGTTACAAATAAATGTTGCCTACCATTCTTCGGTGGGGCAGATACTGTGTAGGCCATGCCAGTGGAGGTAGATGCACCCTCATTGACCCTGGATTCATCACTGACTGCAGACTCGTCAATGGTGCTCTCTTTGCCATCCTCACCATGTAGGTCCATCTCCATTGCAAGGGGAGAGTCCTGACTCTCGCACATTGAATCCCGCTTTATCCTGATCTGAAATGGGTTCTCCTTCCTGCAGATTTCAACCTCATGCTGAAACAAAAGACGCTTATTAAGTTCTAAAATCCATGCTGAAGCAGCAATGGTCATTCCAAGTGACTTCAAAGTCATAACCACTCTTTTCTATATGTTACTTCATATCTTCAAGTTTATTCACACCTGAAGACATCAAAGTTCACTATAACAAATATTTCATACACACTCCTACAAATCTGAAAATATATCTCGACTGTGAGATGCCTAGTCAAGTGTCTATAGAACTACATCTCATTCCCTTTTATGACCATAAATGTAAATAGGATGTTAAACAATACTAACCTCAAGTCTGTTGAGGAAGGTTGAAAGACCACCTTGTGTCTGGAAGGCAGCCATATCTAGGTTGGTGATCAAGTCCACCACACGCACTGCTCTTGTAACAAATTGCTGTAATCATCAAGAAAATCAAAACATCAATAACAATATCAATTACAGAGCTCAGCTTCTAGAAAAATTTTGTGAGTTCTGCCCAATGTATCTAATAAAACTGGTTTTTTTTACTGACAGTTTTGGGACATGAAGATAAGAATCACATCAGAATTGATATTAGGTCCTGATTCACTTTATCTATGTATCTTATAACTGCTGTAGAAGTTGCCCCACCAGTGTCAAAATCAATTTTCCATTGTAATTTTTATATACAAAAGTAATGAAATATTTTTGACATGATCAAATGGGATCAAAAGGAATGAAGAACTTGATGGATAGTTTTTGATATTACATCTAAGTTACCCCAAAATTCAACGGACCGTGGAAAATATTTTGGCTTGTGCGAATTTTCAATTTAAACAAAGCGTCCAAATAAAATAGACAATATTAGTTTCCCCACGTTGATGATGGTTGAATGAAGTAGGACTATGATAACAATGTACACCATGTAAAAACAGCGTAATTTAATCTAAAATTACAAAGATATTTCCACTCAAATGGAATTTTGACTTGAGTAATTTCAAGACAAGTTTCAAGTGTACATGAAATATAGCCAATGAGACACTCACCGTGATATGATCCTGACCATTGCCATACCAGCTAATCACTTTCAGTAAACATTCCATCATCCCACAGGAGACCAAGGCCTCCACACCTACAAACACACAAATTTTACATCCTGTTTCACTTCCAAATTTAAACCAACTCACCATCAAATAAATCAATTTTTACAAGTTTTAAGTAGTTAATAATTTTTTTTTTCATTTATTCAATTAAACAAAAATTCTACATTTTCTTGCAGCAATAAAATTCATCTTTCTAAAGGTGAATTTCATTAAAGTTGTCAAAAAGGATTAAAAGAATTTGTGAACAGAAGCAGAATTTCTCTTCCCTTGCTGATGTTATTTCTTTCCCAATAAAACTGATTGCATTGCAGCTTACCATTTTCATAACTGGCCAGGTGATACAAGAATGAGAACAGCGCTGTGGCATAGGGTTGTGGAAAAGGTTTCAGTTGGGAATCTGTACATAAAACATCTATGGTTCAACAACATGTCACAGCATTATCTAACAAAACATAGCACTCCTGCAATAAACTGTGCCTAGCATTACATTTTTTGAATTGATAGAGAAAATTTATACAATTTTACTTAAGATAAATATATTGTCAATTTGGGTTGAAACCATAAGGATCAAAAGCACTCTATATTTGCCTTGATCTACACATTACAAACTTCAGTTACATACAACACACAACAAACACTTCTTTCAGTTTTCCTATACTCGTATCTTTGAAAGATGAGACATTTTGATAGGCTAATAACCTATGAAATGTGGTGTAGGAAAAGCAGGTACGTAAAAACTACACCCGATTAACACAGGATATTCTGAAAGATAATTGATCTGATTTTACAAAAATTCTGAGATTGTTTCACCTGTCATATGTTGTATACAGGAGCGCACCAGCACTGGCAGAAAACCATGGTACGAAGATGCACCAGTAGCATCGATTATGTTGTTCAATCTAAAAAACAAATGAAACATTCATTACAAACTTCTCTTTCAACACAGAATTATACCTGTAAATTTATATATCACTCTTATGTCAATCAATGATACCTTGTTATCTTTGGTGTCACTACAAACACTGAACTCCTCACAACCCAACCCCTGTCCCATCCTCCTTATCAGAAAGAATCAACAGAATATTTGTATTCCTGACAGTCAAATACTTACTTAGGATTTCTCTCCAGGTGGATTATGGAGGTGAGTGTCCTCAGTGAAGCTGCTTTGATTTCCTGGGAAGAGAAAACATTATTTTGATAAGATTCCTTTTGTTAGTAAAAAATGTGGAGGCATTTCTCTCTTCAATAAATTTCAATATCAAAGTATTTCAAATAAAGTTTGTGGGCAATTCCTTATTTTTAATGAATTTTTCTCCCCTTAAGTATACATTCTTTTAAAAATATGTACAGAATATGTGATGAAAATAGACACTATTTCCTTGTGGTATTAAAAAATAATTCATATCACCATAAAACTTAATTTTGACTCAAAACTTGAGCAGAACAACATACCACTAAGTGTTCATCTTTCAGTTCTATAATATCCACTAGTTCTTCTATCAGACCTGGATATAGCAGAGCATTCATGTTGTCCTGTATAGCGTTGGAATATACTGTAAACATATAAAAGTATATGTAATTCTAAATTTACCAAGGTTTAGTACAGTAACAGCTGGCTTTTAACATAAATATTAAGAATAACTTATACTGTAATTTTAGTTAATACATATTTTTTTCCAAATAAAGTGAATGATTTTCATATCTCAACAAAAAAACATATCGGTTTGATTGACTGAATTAAATATAATGAACTAAATGACCTTATAACAGGGCTAGAAAAAAATGTTTTCAGCTCCTCGTCTGTCAGGCAAGTGAAACTTGAAATTCACTTGCCCTAATCCAATATTCACTCACCCGAAGAAAACAGGCAACAAAATATAATTTAAGGAACACAAATTTTATTATCAATTTCTATATCAAATGTTTGAACTCCACCCTTGCTTTTATTGTTTTTCTCATATTTAATTCACTGTTAACGCGAGCAAGAACATAGACTTTTTGACAGTAACTACGTACACGAAACAACCTTGTTTACAACATTTGTGGTGACATGGTAGTCTGGATCACCCCGAGTCTTGACACGTAGTGTAAACAAAGATACTACATTGATGTATTTGATCGACTATCAGTGGATTTAAATTAGTTTTAAGAGTGTTTAAGTTGATAAACGTCATTTATTATGGAATATTCAATAGTCAGAACTACAAATTTCACTCGCCTGCCAGACAAGTAGCTGAAACAAATCACTCGCCCGCAAGTAGCTTTGACTCGTCTAGATGAGCGGACGAGTGGATTTTTCTAACCCTGTAAAAGTGATCAATAAATTGTAGTCTTACCTAAGATAGCCATTGCTTGCAGTCTAGCCTGCACACACTGAAGTCTAGCCTCATACTTAGAGAACAGGTTGGCTAAACGAATATGAGTATACAGCAACATCTGGCAAAGAAAAACATGCAATTAAGTGAAAAGAACATCTCCAAACCAAACATGCATGGGACATGAATATATTTGGCCAGTTTGTAGAGGGTTTTGTTTGTAGAAGTGAAATAAGTTGACCGGTCCAGACTCGGATGTAACTGATTCTGTACATTCCATTAACTATTCCGATTGCTTTCAGAATTTACACCACACATGCCCAACTAAATAAAGAGAAAAAACTTAATGGAGTAAAGATATTTCGTTAAGTGAAAAAAGTGATACTTGTATACTATATGTGGCTTTGGCTGAAAAGAAATCTGTGCCTTGCCCGGTGACCTAACATTAACATTACATACGGTCAACATAGCTCCTGTTGTGTGGTCGGTTTGTCCGTAAGTGTTACCAACTAATATATTTTATGAATGTATGTTTTTGTTGATCAGTATAAAAGCTTATCTTCTAAAACACTTGATTAATATTTCTATTCTGTATGTGTAGAAATAACATTATTCAATTACCCATGATTTAGATGTGGAACTGCGGCTTTCTAACTAACTCTATATCAGTACCTATTTTCAAGTTAATTATACAATAAACTCTTCTGATATTGTGTCAATTTGTCATTGGAGATAACTATACAGTATGTTTATCATAATTCTACAAAATCAAGGTAGTTGTGTTCAGTATTCTAAATTGAGAGGGATCAGTGTTGCGAAGGTTTTTATAACTATGTTAAAGTGGATGTGATTCATGGCCATTTCATTTGGTTTCAAGAGGTGATTGGCTTTGAGAAGGATCAATTTATTGAAGTTGCACTTTACATACATAGGAATTTAAAATAAATATGACGATCACAAAACATTTTTTACTTCTTTCTTTTGCACCGACCTGTTTTTCTTCAGGGACCTTGAAATTCTCCAGAATTTCTTCCATAATTTCTGATGGTAACTTCATTGACTTGTCCAAGTTTTCCATATGTATAGAAGTAATGACATTAGCCATTCCCTGTAAGCAAGCATTATCAAAATGTGGAATCAACTACGAAGAATGTATAATAGATATTTGTCCGATTCTACTTTGAGATTAGAAGTTTCAAAGTCTAACAAAAGTAACACATGCCAAATCATCCGAAAGTCCTGAAATTTGTTTTTAATATTTTAAGTAGTCAATACCATGTCTTGACATTAAAGTAATTCACAGAAGATTGCATCAATCATGAAGATTTTAGATTTAAAGAATTCATTTAAACTAGAATTGAAAATGGCCAGAACACAGAACACAAAATACAAACCTTCTTGCCCTTGTCTTCTTTATTGTCCACATAAAATTCAAAATGCAGTGTTGTTGCACTGGTAGGAAAGTTCTGAAATCAACAAAAATTTCTTGCAAATGCCTATCTACTATCATTCTAACTCGCAATCTTAAACCATGTGGTCAACAAAGACTTGTAATCTTGCATCAACTCTAAAATACTATAATTTTTTTTTCATTTGTGATTGTGTAATGAAAATTTGAAAGGGGCAGGCAAATTGGATTGAAGAAAAAAATCAGCTGAAGAGCTAAAGCTAAAAGACTGAAAACTGGGTGTTGCAGGTCATGCTATGTGTAAATTGTACAGTATACATCACATAATTTTCTATGAAAATTGCTGCTATCAGCCAAATTGCTAAAAACTGCTTTCATTCTGTGTTCAATACTTACTGAAATTGGATCATTACTGCAGCACTCAGAAAGGCCAAATCCATTGTCTTTACCACCCCAGCTCTATCAAAAAACAAAATCCGCAAGTGAAATTCAATGAATTGCCAGAAGAAAAATAAATAAAATACATAAATGTCAAAAGTCCGGGTCGTGTAACATTACGTAGCTATAGGATTTTCAACCATTTTTTAAATGGAAAAATCAAAGATTCTGTGAGGCCGACATCATTCTTTGTCAGTATTATCTGGTACTCAAAACTGACACAAAATGGATGCTACAATTTATTTATGAACAGAAATATAAAATAATTACTGTATATATTAATGCAAACTATCCCAGTCAATCATATGTGCAAAATCTGGACAAACTGTTTGAAAACATGATAGGAACTAGCAAGACAGAAAACTAATGATTGGCAAAGACAGTGGCTTGTTTGGAACGATGAAAAATATGTCAAATTATAATTTGATTATCTTTTGCAACACTTACATGTTCAACTGTTACGAAATTTATTTTATTTTTCTACACATCCGATATCGCGACAAAGCAGAAGCCACAAGTATATTAGTATGAGGAGTGTGGATTGAGACTTATCATTAGACTATGGATTTAATTCAATTTTGCCCTTAATATTGTCGGTCTGATGTGTTAGCTGAACATTCCAAGAATGATTCCTTGGCTCCTCAAGATTAATTATGACTGAATTTCGAGTGCGCACATTTTGCAACCAAAAAGTACCTGTGCAAATTACATAGGACCACTCATTACACAGGTTTTTATGGTGACATTTTATGATCTATTACAGAAACTTCCTAGTAGACATCTGTAGTGCAATCAATTTATTAATAGCAAATAAAAGAACAGTCATTATTACCTCAGCTAAGTGAGTCAGTCTGACAATTAGGCCTTGTTTCTTGTCATTGCTTAGCCGAGTGATGTGGTTTGATCTTTTGCTGCAGAAAAAAAAGAGACATGGATATAACATAAGTATTGATATACATTTACATAATAAATTTACACACAACTGAACAAACATAAAGATTCAGTAAGTCTTCTTTTTTATACCAATGTTTGACAATAAAACTTACCTGAAAACATATAGGAGGTTCAACACAGCCAGAACAACTGTCATATCTGACGAGGACAACAGGCTAGTTAGATGTTCCATGGAGTTGTAAAGGTGACGAGAGAAACTGTGTTCAATCAGTAATGATGTGAAGTGTAGAATTACTAACAAGAGGTCCTTCAGCTGTATCAAGAAAAACAGATTATCACTTACGAAAAGAATCATTATTTACCTTTGCTCTTCAGGGGGTAACTGCAGTTGATAACAGTAGAACACATTACAATGATAGCATATTGGAAAACCATTTCATTTCTAAAACTCTTTGCATTACATGTTTACAGAGACCTCTTCAAATTGAAATTTAACTATAAAGAAGTTATTAATGAAATTAATGAAAATAAATGTGTCATAAAAATAAGCAAACATAGATTATATGTCACAAAAAATAAACTTCGTAAATGACCAAACCTGTTCCTCGCCAGCTCTGTCACAGCAAAGCATCCATTTTTTCTCACCCTCCTTTTTGCATGCCTTTTCCAGGACCTCATCAAACTTATCCAGGACATCTGACCAATGGTATAGTTCACACTACACAAAAGAAAATAACAAGTGTTGTCTTCAAGACTTCTTTTACAATGGTTAAAAATATCAAGTTAGTTTCCTTCAATTTCACCTTAAGTTTCTTTGTCATTCAATACATTATCAAATAGTTTTTCTTTAATTTCAACTGAACTATCAGGACAACTGTTACTTTAAAGTTTCGGTTAATGAACATCAACTTCCAGAGTTTCAAAATAAAAATCACATGCAGCATCCTCTTCTGTCAGTTTGCTCCAAAGTTAATCAATATAACTGCCTCCCATAAAATCTTACTTAATTTTGCTTTTTCCCTTGCATAAAAAATATGCCCTGCTTATTAATCACAAGCTAATTTGCTTTCCCCTTTTGATACCAATATGCATTGATTTCTATACCGCTTACACATCCATTTTGTAACTTGTTATCATACCTTTCCATAAGACCAGGATTTCACTGCTTTCAGTTCTTCTAGTAATGTACCCTCTGTAGCAGTCTTCAGTTTCTCAATGAGGGCCCGACAATCTGCAGGCTACAAAACACACCAGTCTTTATTTTCCTCTGAAATCCTCTATTTTACTTTTTCAAGTGAACTAAACTAAACTGTTCATAACTTACATCATGAAAAAAATACCAAGTCTCCAAAGACCCACCAGTACAATAGCACTTAGAATATAGGAACAAGAATAACATGGGTTGATAGATATTTGGCCAGGATTTGTTTATTGAAAAGAAGGCAATGGAATTTGTAATAAATCAAAATGTCAAAAAGGAAAAAATGACTTTAAGTTTAAGGGATACATTAAAAGGTACTAAGTTATAAAAAGATGTTTGGAAGGCTAAAAGAAATCTGTAGAAGATTAAAATGCTGGAATGAACCATGGGTAGTAACTGTTCAAAATAACTTGTTGAATCCGAATGTTATTCACAAAAACAATATCATGTTGTGGTTTTCAAGCCTACCCTAGTAAGTTTCAAAGAAACTGGTTAAAAATAGAGGGAGTGTATATCTGGCCAGAATAATAAATGTTTGAAATTAAAAATTGAAAAGATTAAACAAATCACAATGTCATTAAAGAAAACACAATAGCATGCAATGGCAGCAAATCCTATCAAGTTTCAGTGAAAAAATTAGGAAGGAAATCTCTACAAAATCAAAATGCTGAAAAAGACAAAGGGCAGTAACTCCTTCAAAAATTGTTTCACCCAATTGATTTAGAATTTAGAATTAAGAAAGAACTTTATGTCATGGTGATTATGCTTACCAAGTTTGAAAGAAATTGGTAGAAAACTACATGTGGAGATCTTCAGACAAGACTAGCATTTTGAAATAACATGGGGCAGTAACTCTTCCAAATATAGTCAAACCAAATTGCCATTCAGGATAACATAATGCCGCATCATGGTGTTTAAGTCTACAAAGTTTGAAGATTGGATAGAAACTGAGGGAATAGATTTCAAGACAAATATAAGTTTGACAAAAAATGCCATCCCCATAGTATGCCACGCTTAAGATTTTGACAGATGTATAATTATTTAACAACTTTTTTCTTGATTCAGACATTCAAAATCTTTCACAAAATCCCAAGCTAATTTTCATCAACATCACAAAAGTAAGTATTAATCATGCTGAGTGGTTTTCCAATTAATCACTCTTTTAGATAGTTATATTAAATTCAGTAGCAGTATACTTACCACCTCTGTTGTAGACTTTTTCAATTTATTTCTGTCTATCTTCATTTTGATTCTTCAGGGTAAAATTTTACTGAAAGTAAATTTTGAAGAGTTCATATTTCACAAATAAATGAAAGCTATAGTTCTGAAATCTATACATGCTCCGGTAATCAATCACAATAAATAATGTACCATCAGGTACACGGATTAAAATAAAAATATTTATTACTTGGAAACAAGGATTTGCCTAGATCCGAAATCAGTAATCCTTTTGGAATGGGGATAAAGATTTTTGTACTTTAATTCAAATGATATTATTTTCATTTCAAAACAAAACAAAATTTCTGTAGTGTTGTAAATCTATGAAAGTCATTAATTTCCTTCACAAAGTTTGTCATGACAGTTCACAAACTATTATCAATAAGCATGATGCACAAGGCAACAGATTTTCTACTTGAAGCGACATACGAAATATGAGAAAATGACATACATTTTCTGTAAATATCTTTCTTCCTTGAAATTGGTATGTTTAAAGACAGATTTGGTGGGAGTTTATATTCTGATAATCTAAATTGGACCGAGACATTGCGACTCCAATGAAAAGACCGACAGTTAAAGGCTCCAGTCATTAATGTAATTAAAAGCAACAGCCAACACAAAACAAACACGGAAAAAAAATGTTTGTTTAGGGAATAATTTCCAACTTACTCATATCCTAGTTTCTAGAATGTTCTCCTGGGGTTCACATAAAATCAAAACTTTTCATTTTTTCATGTTGGGGTTATATAGGTTGCCTTTAAAAACCTAGAAGATATAACAATTCTTTGACAACCCCTTGCTGAGCTTTTTGAATACATAAAGACAAACCCAAATAAATATATGCCTCTCTAGATATTTGATATGCTTATAATAAACTTTAGATATAGCTGGCATAGGTTGTGTTGTTGGAGATATGGTTCAAATTTGCGGCGGTATAACTTTATTTAGCTGATGCAGTTTTACATAAAATGTTTATTTGATGCTTGGGAACAAACAGCAGGAAAATGGATATTGCACGTGGTGGTCGATAGACGAGGTTAGTTATCGATAATGTATGCAGGTTTTAGAAGTGGATTTTTGCATCTCGTGATAAGCCGGGCGGGATAAAATAACCACTCATTGTTCCCAATTTGTTTCATTGTTGAAAAAATGCCAATATAACGTTCTAGACATCACAACAACGAACAGAAACGGTCAGGTCAGCAAAATTACAACCTGCCCAACGATAAAATGGCGGAAAAAAACATCGCATTCATAACACACAAATTTGAAAACATTTACCACTGTATCAGCTGGAAATATTTACACGTGTCATCTTCTCCATCTCCATTTCTAGCGATAAATTTTATTCTAACAAGTTTTCGCAAACATTTTTTTCATATTTGCAAATCATTCTTAACCTGCAGACGGCTGCCATGTTGAAGATGCTTGCATGCCCGGATGAAAGCCTCGAACCGATGAGCGCATGGCTCTTACAACGCAAATGATTCACGGTAACAAATCGAGGTCGTCGGATTATTTAGGATCATATGCATTATATGAAACTTATTGAAAACTTGAATTTCAAATGACCTTATTTCTATTTTAACGTAACTTATGTAAAATTGAAACAATTATGAGGAAATTATTTGTCACTTGCGTAATAAGAGGTTTGGAACTAAAGACTTCCATCCTTATTGAATAGATTGTGCAATGCACACTCAAGTGAATATCACCTTTGAAAATAAAACAATGATGCCACGGACTTTCATATTGTTAAATTGACGAAAAGAGCTTTATTAAAACAGCGGGTTGCAGATTATAAATATTCAGTGTAACATCTACATGTTTGTAAAAAGAGACATTTCATTCTGTTTTCCCTCTAGCTTTCCAAAGTCAGAGACGAACTATAGCCTAATGTGATAAATTACAGTTGTAACTTCAACGGGAAAGGAAATATTTAATTTAGTTTAAATAATATTTTTATTCAATATTCAACAATTTAACACTTAAGAATTATGATCTGTCCGAGATTGAAAAAAAAACAGGCTTAGAGCTTATATTACAATCAATCCTTTCTCAAGTTTAATAAAATTTGTCCTCTACCTTAACCAGACGTATACGTGTGACATACATCCCCATCACCATCTATAAGATTACTTGTCACAAACTTCCGCTTTCCTTTTCGTTGTTTCAGCGTTGAGCGAAAACAGTATGATTTACACAAAACAGAAAATAGATTTTGAGTATTCCATCCTTGTTTAGAAAGTGAAGCATTAATAATTAAAACTTCCGCGTTTTTATCACCGTTTATAGTCCGCGTGGTCCTGTTCGTTATAACTTGTTCCATAATTACAACGAGACAATGCATAGATCTATACAAGTCAATGAGATTCTAGAGACCTGAGAGACAAAGTGGGATGTTTTTTCTCTTTTCACTCGCCTGGCAACACTCTTTCATTGCTCAATTTTCTGCAGATGACACGACGGAATTTGATATAGATTGGTATGCTTGTGTGCAACAATTATGCATATTGGCTGTCCAGTTGCAATGTTTTAATCAAAATCGCTGCTCATCAGCACCCAAAGCGACTCACGAATGACCCTCTTAACTGAGTCTCTCCCATTTCTCCATATTTTTAAATTGTCTTGTCATGACAATATTCGCTTCGAATTTAAAATTTCTAGAATGTCACTTCTTCCCAATTACGTCTCGGATATTTAAAAAGGTTGTATCTGCTGAGCGAGATACACTTATTTTTGAAGCGGAAAACAATATCTTCTCAAGTATGACCTACCATCCTGTATGGAAAGCTTGGTCACTATCATTATCTGTAGATTACACACTAACATAAAACAGAACTTCTACATCAATATGAAACCAGAATTGTTTCATAATAAATATAGAAAGCTTGTTTGATTCTGGTGTACGCCAGATTATTGTGCAATGCCCTTTGTCAAACTCGCTAATTAAAAACGGCTTTGCGTGTAGTGCATATATTGCTGATAATGAAAAGGTCACGCTGAATGTCGTAAACATCCGGCTTTTTCACCTACAGTCGGCACGCTTTATTTAGTTTAAACTAGGTACTTAGATAACATATCATTGATTTGTCATAAAAGGTATTGAGTACATTTTACAAATGTATAATCAGTAAAACTAGGTATAATTTTATATGTCCCTGGTAAACAACACAGACTTCGATTTGTGCCCTTGAATTAAGATAACAAAAGTTAACACAGTTCATGAAGATCGAAGTTAAATATAGCGATAGTGAAACCTACCATCGTCCTTAGAAAAAGAAATCGTTCAGATGCATATCAGTAGATATTTAGTCATGATTCAAGCTAAGTAAACACAAGATTTCAACCTATCGTAAACCGAAAGTATTGCCAAAGATACAGGCCTATTTTTAAATCTTTGTCAGAGCGCAAAATTCTGCCAACGCCTAATTTCAGAAAAGAAGTGGATCATGCGATGGTTAATCATCCACAAGATCCATTTACATTGTGTATAATTGAGATGATATCAGCTAGACAAACACAATAGAACACGACAAAGCGTATGTTTTATAACACGACACCTATACCTGTAAGAGTTATCTCCCTTCTATCACACACCGAACAGACAAAAAGAAGAACGGCGAGCAGAGGTATAGGATTAATATGCAATTTTAGATGTTTGTTTGAATAGAAAGGATTAAAATCGTCATACTGATGGCTTCTAACGGCGGTAACATGGTTTGCACTTCCTCTCGACCTTCACTGAACTGTAATCCAAAATACTGCAGTACCTTACTGAAGTCGGAACTGTTCGGGCTACACTAAACAGAATAGTTATTACTAGCGATTTGGAGAAGGTAAGGGCTTTGAAAATAACCACGATGTGTAGTGATGTATACTTTCGTCAGCACCCTACCAGTACCTCTCCTGTATCCTATATCCCATTGATGTTTTCGATAAATAAAATAAAAAAATGTTAAAGGTTAAAGGGAGGTAACTCGAATAATTTGTCGTAAGGAAGAAAAAGACAGGATGTTTAGGTTGAATATTATCTAACTGTTTGTCATATTTTTATGTGGTTTTCTTCGTGGTTTGTATTTATACATCACCTTGTGTATTACAAAAAGCAGTAGAAGGATATTAATACACATTCTAACCATCCTACACAAGGAATCAGACTTAAAAATAGGTACCGGTGTAGGTAAATGAATGAAATTTGAGGTTTTGAGAAACATGTAATACAAGAAATTATAACCATTTATTCATGATAAGAGATAAGAGTTTTATAATTTCATTGATTATGTGAGAGCTTTAGTTTATGGAAATTTTGAAAATAAGTTCTGCGTTGGGAAATCATGTGAAGATGTGCTTGAGCATTTTGTAGATATCAGAATTGATGGAATTCTGAGTGGACAAGGAAATTTTTTCTATAGCGAATGAAGTAAAAATTGTCACTGAAAGATATATATATATATAAACATTATAATATATATTGTTTTGCATTTTCTATTACTTGCAGGTGCAATGCATTGAGTCAAAGCATGGAACAGATTCCTTTGACCAATCATAATACAGCTCTTCCAACTAATGAAAGTGGAGCCTTTGTAGCAGTTCAGAATGCAATTCTGCCTACCAGTCCAGACTTTGAAATGGAGACAATTTGTGCTGATCTTGAACATGAAATTGACACATCGCTTCTTGACGATATTGATTTATATTTAGAATGTGACGACGATGATGTAAATTTCACTGCCCCAGTTCCTAAGGACTATAAAAATGTCACTTTTAGAATTAGTTTTTATCCAGGAACTCAAAACTGTGAAACAAATACCAGAAGAAAGTTTGTTTGTAAAATTTGCAAGGAGGAATTCAAAATGGAAACCAAATTCAAAAGTCATATGGTGGAACAGCATGATATCAAGAAACCTTTTGTCTGTAATATTTGTTCATACAAAGCAGCATCCATGAAATTACGGAAACAACACTTTGTTAAAGTGCACAAGATAGAAAAAAGCTGTGGAACAGATTATGATGTAATCAGTGACAATGGACCAAAAATGAAGTTTGTCTGCAGCAAATGCTCATTCTTTACTACAAGGAAAGATGAACTTGTCAGTCACTTTAATAAAAACCACAGCCACACAGATAAATCGTTTTCTTGTGACCAATGTAATTTTGTTTGCAAGCAAAAGAAAACTTTTTCACTACATTTAAAAAAACATGAGGGAACTTCATCTGAATTAATTTGTGAAATCTGTGGAAAAGAATTCATGACAAACACCCAATTTAACCGGCATTATAAAACGCATAGAGGGGAACGCCTATTTAAATGCAGTCTTCCTGGGTGTCAGAGGACTTTTAAAATCAAAGGAGCGTTGACTGATCATGTGAAATCTGTTCATAGATTTGAAAAAAGTAATATGAAAAAAATTGGTGATACAAGTGGTCAGCCTAGTAGTGATTTGAGTGACCAAACATAGCATTTTCATTATTTGTAGCCTTTTACTCTAAGAATTTCTCATTAATAAAAATGCACTATTTATTGCAGGTTAAAGAATCTTTAAGTAAATGTATTGAGTATGGAACCTCTAGGTTTTCAGAATGACTATTTAAACACATGTTTTACAGTGTTACTACTTTATTTAACTCGCCTGCCTTGAGAAACTTCTCAATAACCCGGGGTTATTGGGCCTGTAGCATGCTGAGATGATGAGCTATCAATATTCTCAATATTGGAAAGGTCTAAGATACTGCTATTGTGACTGTGATATGCTGGGGTGGAGGGCTACCAATTTATTTTAAGTGAATGACCTTGATCCACTTTCAAAGTCAAATGGGTCAAATATGTCAAATCTTCAAACAACTTCTTCTCAGTTACCAGAAGGAACAGGGTAATTTCCAACCTGCACCATGCTGGAGTTAAGGGGTACCAAGTTTGTTAAATGATCTTGACTTACATTGAAGGTTATCGGGGTAAAATGAGTTAATACCTTCAAATTGCTCTTCAATAACTAATTGGCCAGAGTCATATTTGTGTAGTAGCAGGCTTGGAGAAATGGTTTTTTTTAATTGTTTCAAGAAATTCAGTTAATGAATGAACAAAGTCTTATTTGTGATCTGCAGAATAGGTGAGCAATGCAGGCCCATTGGGCCTTTAGTGTTATATGTATGTGAGAATTCCTAACCCAAACTCTCATAACTTAAAGAATTTAAGACTGGAGTCCAAAACCAATCCATTGTATTGTGATGTAAGGATGAAAATGACAGACTTGTGTCTCTCTGTGATAATTTTCAAGGCACATGTATCTCTATATAACTGTCAGAAGAAGTCAAGGCCAAATTTTATGCGAATGAACCTCGGGGTTTTTGAAGATGAGTTGTAAAATCGTTATGTCTTTTGATCTTATAAATGATATATTTTCCAATAATGATGAACAAATACAATGTTATGCAATTCATAATATTTTGTGGCAAACATACAGATGTTTGTATTTACATGTTGAGACAAAGAGAAATAAATAAAGTAATTAAAAGACAATTTCATAAATATTTTTTGCAAGTCCTGGATTATATTGTGATTGTTCACTGTTCTCCGGGAGAGGCTGATGGTAACTCTTAGAAAATTTTTCCAGAACTGTTGCCCATGCGTATGAAAAATCTTTATTGTCCATGTTATACACTTTAGATGGTGATACTTGAAACAGGAGGCCCAACAAGCCTGCATTACTCTGCATTATCTGGCATTATTGTCAAAGTAGATGTACCTCAAACTTATTCAGATCAACATTTAATGTCGAAAAATACTCACTTGACAATCAAACAACCATTTTATACCCTAAAGGAGTAGTACCATTTTTCACTTCTTGCTGTTTCAAACTATCTAGGTCTGTGATTATCTGAAAATGTCAGAATATTTTTTGACAAATCTGACTCTAAGGTTGAATATATTTGCTTCCGCAAGTTTAGGAGCATTCAATGTAAATAAAACAAAAATAATTTTATTTGTTCTTTGTGACCTTGAATATTGGTTTCGGTAAATTCCTTTGCACACTTTACTTGGTCTCATGAACGAACCAAACTTTCTGAAAACATTCACACGTCGTTTGAATGTCTGTATCTCAGTAAATATCATGACTAAACAGGGTCACTGTACTGTCATACAGTCAATGGGATCCGATTTGGTTATAAGTGTATCATTTGAGTGTGCAGATGTAAAATATAAGGTTGCTTTAAATTTGAATTGTGTACAGTTCACTGGTACACTTTAGACAACAAAATATCTCGTTCTTTGAAATATTCAGAAGTATTTAAACTCTACTAGATGAAGACCAGAAACGTGTTTAAGGAAAATTTCCGTATGTTATTCATTTCTATGGGCAACATTTAAGTTAAGGAAGTTTCGTGAAACTAGGGATGATTCACTATTGGTTATGAAATCATTAGACAAAAATTACGTTCAACTATGTTCAATATATATTCATTTTGCACTAGTAGTTGTTGGTAGACATATTCGCAGTGTATCTATTTACAAAGAAATGCCCCCAAAAGTTCTCGAGATTCTCTGCAGATAGAACTTACAAATGAAATCACGGACTACACTAAAGGGCTTCGTGTCGAACGTTAAAGGGACCTCATGTCGAATGTTAAAGGGGCTTCATGTCAAACGTTAAAGGGGCCGCATATCAAACGTTAAAGGGCCTCATATCAAACGTTAAAGGGCCTCATATCAAACGTTAAAGGGACCTCATGTCGAATGTTAAAGGGGCTTCATGTCAAACGTTAAAGGGACCTCACGTGTAACGTTAAAGGGCCTCATGTCGAACGTTATAGGGGCCTCATATCAAACGTTAAACGGGCCTCATATCAAACGTTAAAGGGGCCTCATGTCGAACGTTATAGGGGCCTCATATCAAACGTTAAACGGGCCTCACGTGAAACGTTAAAGGGACCTCACGTGAAACGTTAAAGAAGCCTCACGTCGTTAAACGATTTTAAGTTATAAATCTTGACTAGAATTCAATGGGACAACACATGACATACTGAAGTAGTAAAACTTATTAACTTATCTTTTTTATAAATCACTCATAAACCGCAAATAAGGGGTATCAAGTCCTTATAGCAATTGTCAACATCATGTTTCTTGTATTCAACAATTCAGGACGAAAGATATTGAAGTGAATCCCTAATTTGATCCAAAACAGCTGATGCAACTTTTCTCCTCATATCCCCTCCCCCACCCCGCCCTCCCTCACAATTGTTTCCCCCCTTATCCTCTCCCACCCCCACCCCACACACACCGCCAACCAGTCCGCGCACCCCTTCCTCCCTCCTGCTTGTAACTTGAAGTACACTGTTGACACAGCTAAGACACCTGATATCTGCAGTGCGTTGGCAGTCGGAGTAAACATATTTCGTGGATTGTAATTTGACATCAATCACGATTTAAAGAGCCAGATGCAATTTTCCTGTCAGGAAAAATAATGGGCGGAATTTTAATAACACAGGTTTGCTTATACTCCCAATATTGTGCCTGCTTTACAAGTGAACAGCAATTTCTAACCAGTTCGATAAGTATACATAATTATACAATCTAATTAAAACCAGGTCTTAATTTACCACTCCAATACTCTCCGTTCACTAAATAACACTACACTCTCAATTTCTCAGTTGTTTTAAAACTAATTTGAAATGAATGCATGAATCCTCGTTTTGTCTGTTAGATTTTGTCAGGGTACTGATGGGAAAACAAAAAAGCCAACTTCCATCGTAGACATTTTGACTTTGAATATTTCTAATATTTTTTCTCGTTGTGTTCAGTAATGTTCATCTGGTGTGAGTGAGTGCTGTTGTCTGTTTTGAGTCACAACCCTGTCTATCGAGAGTCTACCAGAGTCGTGCCAGCTGTATGGACTGACCAACAAACACAAGGATCCCTCATTTACTAGGTTTGGCGGTTCTTTGGACGTTGACAGTTGAAGTTTATAATAATTTTGTTAAGTTTTCTTTTACTAATTCGGAAAGCAAGATTGGTAACGGCCACCATCTTGGAATCTGACTTTGTATAAATATTATCCTTACTTCTATAGAAGTACTGGTTTAAGGAATATTGTTCTACCCCTGATTTTTGTTCCTGTCCTAGTTGTACCCGCTTAGTTTCCAAACTGATTATTTAAAATTGCCACCATCTTTGATTTTGAACGCTAAATGATGCTGTATTGTTGTTAGTTAGAAAGTCGTAAAAACATTTCCTCAGAAATCCTTTCCTTCATCTCTCAATAAAAAATATAACGTGCTCTAAGAGCAAATCAAATTTTAAAAAGAAGAGAGAAAACCACTTTACACTTTTACCACAGCAAAATACGACGGTAGAATCTCAATTTTCTTCTTCTTTTTAACTAGCTTTCTGTGAAAGGAATCGAGGAATTATTGAACTCTATGGTGCTCCCGAAATATTTCGACAAAGCAAACAGTTGACTCTTTGTCTGTCCGTTTGTCCAGGGTACGCTGAAGAAATACAAGACAGTATATCGGATGTGTCTTTCGAGTCTATAATCTGGAAAGTCGATGACAAACTGATACCAAGGGTGTCAAATCAATAACTTGGGTCCTACCTTTAAACCCAATGAAGGTGCCCAAGGATATCAAGGGCATATTTACTATAATAGATGATGCTTTGTATACAAATTTTGGGTCCCTACGCTCTCGGTCAAGGTCATATCAAGATCCAAGGTCAAATCTATTAATAGCTGAGGTTAATATTTTTTCTCTATCTGAAGGTTGTTCAGGGTCAAGGTAATAAAATTGAGGTTAACTGTAATAGTCTCTACTTAATTGGAACTCGTTTTGACCAATGTCAAGTAAATAAGAACAAAACTACCAGATTTTTTAAGCCCATTTTTTGTGTGTTTTACAAACCAGTATAATATCCATTTAGATGTCTTAAAAGTCTTTTCAGATTGTCACCTGGCTTATACATATAACTAAAGATCCTATTTTGACTTTATAATCATAGAAACTTGCCAAAGATTACAACGTTTTAGCTATTACAGATATTATATTATACAATTAGCTGGTTCCGAAGACCCCATGACAACGCGGCATGTATTCTGTCGATGCGATGTTCGTGAGAAGTAAAATGGTTTGAAGTCCCAACATTGCCATACAGATTACAGGACAATTCCTGTTTGAAAGTATCTGAAATACCACTGTTGTTCGACACGTTATTAAAGAACATTGTCCGGAAAATTTCCAGAAAAGAAGGAATGATACTGTCCAGGAAAACTTTCTGTTCGGTTAGAATGAACAATGCGTATCCTTTTATTAATTTTGTATGTATATTAAGTTTCTCCGAGAACAGCACATGTCACGCCTGTGGACATCGTTATATCACATCACCCTTGGCCTTAGGTACAGAACTAATGAGACGAGTAGGGTCAGGACTAGAATTCCGGCCGACCCTGAAAATAAATAGAAAAGTAATGATTGACAACAGGCAATCAACATGTACACAGAGACACAAAGACTTGGCAGTGTTTTTACATCATCCAGCCCTTGAGGTTGAGAGTCCCTGGATAAAGGGAACTTAATGATAGCTACTCAACATACGGTAAAAATGACATAAATAGTTAGTGATGGACGATTTGATATATCGTTTAATGATAATCTATTACTTATTAAGGTATGTTATTTGCTGTAGTTAATTTAGTTGCTTGATCTGAAAAACGCAGTTATGTCCCTTTAATACACCAGGTGTAAGAGCACTCGTCTCCAAACATCATCTAAAGTATATTGTACATCTTCTTTTTGATGACATCCATTAATTACTTAATATAGGACATTTTCTAATGTCAACTACAAACTTTTATGCTGTTTTTATTTATTTTTTCTCTCTCTGACTTAAACGTAAAAAAATGTAAAAAAAAAAAAAAAAAAATATAGAGGTAATAATATTGTGCCCCGTTTTGTTCACCTAGCGGTAGATTTTAATTTATAGTCACAAAAAATTATGAACATATCATGACGTCCATTCCTTACAAAGTGTTATAGCAAAGGATTCGGGAAAGTTGAAATACTTGACAGGAATGTGATTTATAACCGCTATGAATGCAGTACGATTAAATTTATTTCAATTGTAGTTATGAAAGATAAATCACAGGGAAAAAATGTCTGTTTAATCTCATTTATAAAGTTAATTCTGTTCAAATGACCGGCTATAATTATCCTGAAGCACAAACTCGAGTTCTTGAGTCTACTGATATTTAAAAATTATAACGTGGCCGCGCCTTTCGTCTCTTATGTCAGTATATCATTTAGGAATATAAATGTACTTATAAGCATGACACAAAACATCAGCAAAATATTCTTTGCTGCATACTGTGAAAGAAATGTATTTTTTAAAAAAAGAGAGAGAACAGAAACCCTTTAGAATTGAATGTCAATTGCACCTATAATATACGGGACGCGATAATGTAGATAATATCTCGTACAGATCAGATAACAGAAAGAT